CGGGTTTAGGGTTTAGGGTTTAGGGTACCCTGACCCCCGCCCCGCCCCACCTTAACTTGCAGGCTGCACATCGGCTCTAAAACCATGAAGCTGAACCAAAGAATACCCGGAGCCCAAGGATCAAAGGTGCAATAAAGAAGCAGGATTATTTCCTACATGCCCATTTTCTAGACCCAGGATGAACCTAGAAATACAAGGCGTGCCCGTTTTGGTTTAAAGGGGCTTACAAGGGAACGGCAACCCTAAAACAGGGGAAAGGGCCTACTCTGGGTCATAGCCATGCATTTTGGCCATTGCACACAGCAGCCCAGGTTATTCAGGCGTAGGGGGAGCAGCGCCTTCTCCTGACCTAAACCCTCAACCCTATAAACCATAAAGCCCGAAACCCTATAACCAAAATCAACCCAAAATCTATAAACCCCAAATTTACAACCCTCGAAAACTAATATACATTCTTCTTTATAAGGGCAATATAGGGCCTACTTCTTACAATTTTGTTGGGGTTCTTCGGCAAATATTGCAAATAATAGTCAAACCCGGTGGTAGTGAAGCCCTATAGCTCCAAACAAAAAGCCCAAAAATCACAAACCAGAAAACCCGTGAAACTTATAAACCCTAAACCCGACACCGCCCAAAACATGTTCTTCCTTACAAAAGCAATATGGGGATTATAGTTTGGGATGTTCCCCCGTATACTAACAGTCCTTAATAGGGATTATAAGGGGGGGGGGGGGACTATTATCCCTGTTAAGGACTGTTAGTATAAGGGGGAACATGCTAAACCCCAAGCCCTAAACCCTAAACCCTAAACCCCTAAACCCCTAAACCCTAAACCCCTAGACCCTAAACCCTAATTATCGTAGTAAACCCTGATGCCTGGGTGGGCATCTTTCAACTCCTTGGCCGTGTCAGCGAGCTTCTCTTCGCTCCGCGCCACCAGGAGCACCTCCCCGAGGGTTTAGGTTTGTTTTTGGGTTTTGGGTTTTGGGTTTAGGGTTTAGGGTTTAGGGTTTAGGGTTTAGGGTTTAGGGTTTAGGGTTTAGGGTTTACGGTTTCGGGTTCAGGGGTAAAGGTTTGGGGTATTACCAGGAGCACCTGCCCCAGGGTTTAGGTTTCAGGGTTTGTAGGGCTGTAGGTTGGGATGTCCCCCCCTTTATACTAACCGTGATCCACAGGGGTTCTAGTACCCCCTATTATAATCCCGATTAAGGACGGTTAGTAACTTAGTATAAGGGGAAAAATAGCAAGCTCGCAAAATGCATTCCCTAGTGACAGCGGGTCACAGAGGGCGAGGGAACGTATGATTGAAATCACAAGCCAACTCCTACTTCTGAGGGCGGCGCCAAAATACAAACACACAGACACTGCTTGTGAGAGATGTGAGGATACAAACAGACAAACAACACCCAGCAGACAGCTGACGGGATCGCCTACCACCGGGGACAGACCGAAGACAAGTGTAAGAACTGCAATTGGCTCATACAGAGGGCCAGATGAGCGCGCAGGGGGCAGGGCTAGCACGCGGGGGGCAGGGTTCAGGAGACGATGGAGATGAGGTAGGCCCACGGGGCAGCACCGGCAGCATGCTGAGCGCAAGCACGAGGAAAGCCCGCCCACAAACTGTGAACTCAACAATTACTGATCCCCAGCATCGTGGAGCAGCGCAGCCGCCCGGGGGAACATCCCAAGTTTTAATGGGCTTCAAGGGGGTTCAGGGTTTAGGGTTTTGGGGGGGGGGGGGGGGGGGGGGGGGGGGGATTCGACTTGCCACCTTAAACATTGATAGCTATCCCCGGCAAGTCAACTACATCTCCAGGTAAGGCCGGTGGCATTCTTGAGAGTGTAAGGAGTCGGAGGGTGTATGGTTCACGGTTTAGGGTTTGTGTATCGGTGCTGTTTATCTATCTACCCAGCTGTCGCATATGTCTGGAATCCGCCCCAGGCCGCCCCATACCTAAATCATGAAGCCTAAACCCTGACGCGTGATCTGTTTTCTTTAGTTCGCATCTAAGTGAAGCAGTGCTTCCATTGTCAAACCCGAAGACAAATCTTGCGGCCGTCCAAGCCCTTGGTGGCTATGATTGCAGGGCTGACCTAGCGAAATCGTGTAAATGACTTGTGTGAGGTACAACGTTACACTAGGTATATAAAACCCAAACCCTCACCTAAACCCCCAAACCCTGAAGACCAAATCCCAAACCCTCTAATCCTAGAGCCTAATCCCCTCCAAACGCTGAAACCCTAAACCCCTAAACCCCTAAACAAACCCTAAACCCTAAACCCTAAACCCTAAACCCCTAGACAAACCCTTTAAAACCAACCCTCATCCTCCCAAAAAACACCGAGGCCTTCAACCCCAGGGACGCGAGCTCAAAGGCGTAGGCCTTGCCGATGCCATCCTCAGCCGGAGGGATTTCGAGGGTTTAGGGTTTAGGGTTTAGGGTTTAGGGTTTAGGGTTTAGGGTTTAGGGGTTCACGGCTTCGGCTTGAAAGGGGGGCTTACCCCTAAACCCGAGGTTCGGCGCGTGGGGCTAGCTTTGTCTGATTTTGTGGGCGTCGGGGGCAAGTGGAGCTCAGGTCTTCAAGCTGAGTGGGGGGGGGGGGGGTTTAGGGTTTAGGGTTTAGGGTTTAGGGTTTAGGGTTTAGGGTTTAGGGTTTAGGGTTTAGGGTTTAGGGGATATTTTGGTGCTTTTTTTGGGTTGTGCCCCACATTTTGGAAGCCTCCCTAACGGGCATAGCAAATGGCAGGTTACGGTGCACGATAGTGTGTGGGTTGCATCTGTTTGGCGAAGGGGCAGTGGCACCAGTAACCACCGCCCACTCGCCATACTGCTTGAGGTCCTTGCCCGCTCGGAAGAAGAACTTGTACGCCAAGTACCTAGGGTTTGGGCTTTCGGGTCTTGGGTTAGGCTTTTTCAACCCTAAACCCTAAACCCTAAACCCTAAACCTGGAGGGTTGGTGTGTTGGGCTTCCCTTCCTAACCTCACGTACAGTAAACCAGCCGCCGGCTTGCATCTACATCTCGGCAGGTTCAACGTTTATCTGGAGTATCCTACCAGGCCTTAAAAGGGATTAAAATTGGGGGGAATTATCATTCCCATTAAGGACTGTGAGTATAACGGGGAACGTGCCCATTGGCAAAGAAGGAGCGCCATGTACCTTTCTTTGTTGGGCAGGGTATGCTTAGATTTGCTTCATTCTGAAGGCTTTGAAGCCCGCCTATAGGCGGGAGTAGCTTCTGACGGGGTACTTTTGGGGGACGCATGGTTAGGACAACTACCTCTGAAGCGTCATAAACCGACACCGAACCCCGCAATTCAGGGGCCAAGAGAGGGTTCGCAAATTTCCCGAGTTCATGAAGACACCATGCCCATGGACGAACCACCGATGATGTCCTGTTTTGTTGGGAGTTAGGGTTGAAGGGTTTAGTGGATTACTTGAAGAGCAACCTCTCTGTCTTTAGAAAGGGAATGTGCGATAACCTTTGGGTGTATGTGCCCCTATGAAGGTACAAGGTTACTCGTCTAGGTACTTGGAGGTTCATGGGGTAGTTATAATTGGGGACCTTACTTAGGGTACAGTACTTAGAACCCTACTTAAAGCTACCCCTGGAGCTTCAGGTACGGCTTGGGCTTATGGAAACCCTACTGAAAGCTGCCCAGGTTCAGGCTTATGGTAACCCTACCTAGAACTACCCATGGACCTTAACCCTAAACACTTAACCCTAAACCCTAAACCCTAACCCCTAAACCCTAAACCCTTCAATTCAGGTTTGGGCTGATGGATCCCGTATTCCGACCAGCGGCAGGGTGTGGCTGGCCTTTAGGGCCACGGCGATGGCCAACGCAGACAAAAGCTCCATGTCCAAGACGTAATCGCACTCGGAACTCTCAACCCCGGAACCTAAACCCCAAGCCCTAAACCCTAAACCCTAGGCCCTAGGCCCTGAACCTTAGACCCGAAACCACCTTTTGTGAGCCACCTGTTTTCTGACCAATGCTGCAGGTAGCTCGAAACCTCTTAAAGCCTGCAAGCCTCCGGACGGCGCAGAAGTATACACATGAGGAAGTCATGCTTCTGAGGCTTTGGAAAACGGCGTCGTGGACCATGAAGGAACCGCAAGCAAGCGACATGCTCCCCCAGGGTTTCTGACCTACCTAAAGCGACCCTGTTTAACAAAAGTAAGCGCAGCCAGTCCTGGTGAGGGTACTGGTACATAGGTTCCTCTACACTAAACCCTAAACCCTAAACCCTAAAAAGGCAAACCCTAGACCCTTTAACCCAGAACTTCCTCACAAATAAGGGCCTGGGTGGCCTGATCCCCAAACCCAAAAACGCCCTAACCGCTATTTGGGGTTTAGGGTTTAGGGTTTATAGGGTTTGGAGTTTAGGGAACCCTAGACTACAGCCCTAAACTCTAAACGCCCCACAATCCTAACCCCGAAGCCCTAAACAAGCCTGAATCCTGTACCCTTTAGTACTACTGCTTTGGATTCGGGTACCACAACACCCACACTGGCGTACCTGTTTCGTTCAGAATACGACAAGTGGCGCTAAGCCCCAAGCATCCTAAGCCCTAAGCCCTAAGCCCTAAGCCCTAAGCCCTAAGCCCTAAGCCCAAACCCCTAAGCCCCAATTAAGCCCCAAACCCTAAACCCTAAACCCTAAACCCTAAACCCTAAACCCTATAGGGTTTAGCTAAACCCTAAACCTCAAACCCCAAGCCCAGCATCCTTAGCCCTAAACCCCAGACCATGTGGCTAAAAAAATGGAGTCGAGGTCTCCACCCAAAAGAGATCCATAGGCTTGCGGATATAGGAGTCCTTAATCGGGATTATAATAGGGGGTACTACAACCCCTATATTAAGGACTGTTAGTCCCAATTAAGGACTGTTAGTGTAAGGGGGAACATCCCAAGGCTAGGGCGTCATCCTTAGTCAAGGGGTCGCGGGCTCTCTGCGTAGCAGCCAGGGAGGTTCATGTTTGCCAGGGCCCCAGCCTCACGGGCAATCGATTCGAAGAGTGCTGCCAACCTGGTTTAGGGGTTTCGGGTGTTCCTAAACCCTAAACCCTAAACCTAAAAACCCTAAACCCTAAACCTTGGTACACACAGAGCACAATATCCTTGAAGGGGTTAAAAGTTTCAGGCAGGCAGGGATCAGTGTTTAGGGTTACTTAATGAAACAAAACCCCAGCCGAAGCCCGCACGCCAGAACATATCAATCCCTCTACGCTTCGAGGTATCTTGCCTCAAGTCAAAGGGACTGCGTCGCTCGCGTGCTGCAACCTAGACCCTAGTCCCTAACACCTTGACCATATGAGAGAGAGAGAGAGAGACAGATAGAGAGAGACAGAGAGAGAGAGAGAGAGAGAGAGAGAGACAGACCAAGGAAGAGAGAGAGAGAGAGAGATTGTGCGTGTCCTAGAGCATCTGTACATCTGTACGATGACAATCTTCTGTAAACCTGCGAATCAAACAAGACATACTACAGGACCAGCAAAGTAGACTGACAATGGTGTTTGGGGGTCTTAGGGATCTGAGGATTCAAAACGAAACATGCAAAGACACATTTATCAATCCATAAAACGCCTCAAAAAAGGTCGAGAAATGTCAATAAGGTGTAGGGTTTAGGTTTAGGTCTTAAGGCTTAGGGCAAAACGGTTCTACGTGAGCCTCGCGTCCCTGATAAACTGCCCCTGAAGCCTTCAAAGCCTTTAAACGCCCAGCCACCAGCCAGCCACCAACCCCCCCCCACACCAAAACAGAAAGAAACTTGAGCCAGATGGCCTGGGAACCCCCAAACCCTAAACCGTAGATCCCAGACCCTAAACCCTAAACCCCACACCCTAAACCCTTGAAAACCTGAAGCACCCGAAGCCCCCCCCAAGCTACTGCTGGCAGAGGAGGCTCATTGCCCAAAGGGTCGATTTGTAGCACTGTTTATGGAAATAGGGTTTAGGGTTCAGGATCCCAGGAACCATGCTAAAGAGGGTTATTGGGTACACAGCTCCAGAATAAAGCTATAAATGGACCCGATGGATTAACAATTCGGGCCTTGGGTTGGGTCTCAGGTAGGGCTAGATAGAGCCGATGCCCTGGAGCCCAAGCCCGGTAGAGGTTTAGGGTTTAGGGGTGAGGGTTTAGGGTTTAGGGGTTAGGGTTTAGGGTTTAGGGGTTAGGGTTTAGGGTTTAGGGTTTAGGAATATTGCGCTTTGGAAGCCTCGCCGGCCGCTCACGCGAGCTGTCGCTGGAAACGGGCCGCAGTGCGGCCTACGCCAGGTTTCTAACCCTAAACCCTAAACCCTAAACCCTAAACCCTAAACCCTAAACGTTACAGGGTTCCGGGTTAGGGGTCTGCAGGGCTCAGGGCTAAGGGTTGAAAGCTTTGAGCTTACAGCGTTGCGGTCTTTGCGGCCAAGGGGGTTTCAGGGTGTAGGGTTTAGGGTTGAGGGGCTTATGGGGGTTCGTTCTCGGATTCGTGCACATAGTCGACTCTCCCCCGATATGAAGTGTGTCCGGGATTGTCGGATGACTCACAGGACATGTGACTATAGGCCCTAAACACCCCTACACGTTAAAGACCTAAAACCCTCAAACCCTCGCCCTATGCCCCACATGTCCGCTGTTGAAGTGAAGGGCAATTCGGACTTTAGGGTTGAGGGTTTAGGGTAAATCCTAAACTCTTTTGGCTCAGGACAAGCTGGCCAAATCACGGCGGTTCATGGTTGTGGTTTCGCGTTTCCTGACCAGTGTCCCTGTGTGGTTTGATTCTGGAGTTTAAGTATACCCAAAGCCCTCATAGCGTGGCTTAGGGTTTAGGGTTTAGGGTTTCGGGTTTAGGGGTTTAGGGTCTAGGGATTAGGGCACCTACGTGGACCCTACGGGCCAAGCTTTCTTCAAGGCTAACAGGGCAGTATCGGGAGTACTTTGCCGATGCCCGCCGGCCTCGGCGACGGCCCTCGTCTCTGCCTTGGTACACACCCGGTGGAACATGAAAGGCTTAGAATTTTAGAGGCTCAGGGTTTAGAGGCCTACACATACATGAATATGTATATATATATATATATATACATACATATATATATATATATATAAGGGCTTACGGGGTCTGGCTTGGGTGTCGGGAAGTCGTCGAACTCTACACAACCAAAGCCGTGAATCTCAAATTTGGCAAGACGCATGCTTACCCTAAACCCTAAACCCTGATAAACTTTAACCCTAAGGCCTGAAGCCCCCCCCCCAAAAAAAAAAAAATCGAAGTCCAAGCGGCACGGGGTTGCAGCTGGCGGACACCGCGCGTCTGCCATAGCGGCTGGGAAGGCTGGGGTCTGAGACTTAGGCTTTCATGGGTTTTGGCTTAGGGTTTAGGGTTTAGGGTTTAGAGTTTAGGGTTTAGGGTTTAGGTCTTCTAGGGCTTAGGGTAGGTTCCCCAGCCGCGCACAGAGCGATGGAATGAAAGAGGGCTTGCTCTAGATGACCAGCAGACTAACGCTCGCTCCCCAGGCAAAAAGCATGTGACAAAAAGGGTTTATAGGGTTTAGAGGTTTAATGGATCACCCCGGTTGCTGGACTTACCAAGCAGAAATTGGGAACAGGATGCGATGCACCTGCGAGAATGATGTAGAAGGAGAACACCGAGTGCTTCATGAAACTCCAGTAATAGCTCCTGAAGCCCGAAAGCCCAGAACCCCAAATTCCAGACACTCCTTTGTTCCAGATCCCTTTGAAGAAGGAACACGGTTGGGCAAGTTGGGTAGACTAATCTATGAAATGTTCCGTGGTTTGAGGGATACACACCAAGCAGTGAGTGTTTAGGGCTTTTGCGGTTTAGGGGTTTAAAAGTAGGGTCAAGGATAAGCTTCCAGGTCTCGCCTGTGCGATCGCACGCTGCAAAGCAGGAGCCGTTTCCGTGGAGGCCTATCACAGCGCTGCACTCAGCAGATGGGAACTTAGGGTTTAGGGCTTAGTCTTAGATTAGTTGAATGGTCCCTAACGAACCCGTGAATACCCCTTTTTATAATTTTATATACCCTGGGGCCCATACTCCAGAACCCTTTTAAAGAAGGTAAAGCATCACAATCAGGGGCCACGTAGCTTCCCTTAGACTTAGGGCCCTGTGAGAGCCCTTCCCTTTCCCGGGCGCCGCGCGGACGCATGCAGCAACAGCTCCTCCACAGCATCCACCAGAACCTTTCAGCACGGGACTAGAGGAGAGGCCCTTCTAAGGGCCTTAGGGGCTGTTTCGGGGCTACTTAGGTATAAAGGGACTCTATAAGGTATGTAATAAGGCATTGTATAGTCTAAGTCCAACCCTGTGAGCCGCACATCCCTCAGTTACGGAAGAGACCGTTAACAATGAAACCCGTAAACCCTGAACCCCCCTAAGCCCCCTAAAGCCCCTGAGCCCCCTCAAACCCCGGCCTAAACCCCCTAAGCCCTGGAAATTACCTGCAGGAGACCCGAACTGCCGCGTCGCATTCTGAGCCATCCTGAACCATCAAAATATCTCCCCCTCACAATTAGGGTTTAGGGTTTAGGGTTTATACCTTAGGGAGCCATGAAGGATTGAGGATGTTGAGTAAGGTTGTTATTGCTAGTATCACCACACGGGCACCCCACACATACACTCACCCATATATCTACAAAGAAACATACGTACACTCTCAGAAGCCTGATTCACAGAGCCTAAGCTCTAAAACAGCCTCGGGGTTTTAGGGTTTGCGGTGGCCACGCCGATCTCCGAACAGGGTGAAAGGTTTAGGCTTTACAGTTTAGGGCTTAGGGTTTAGGGTTTTGAGGTTTTGGGGCAGCCAGCATGGTGCAGCAGCAGAAATCCTTGCTGACACCCCACCCAACAACCAACGAAAGGTGCGGTGGACTGGCTTGCTGTATAGCTCTTGGGGTTTCGGGTTTAGGGCTTAGGGTAGTAAAGAATGCTGATGATGTTTGACTAGGGTTGATCGGGTCTAGTATATTCTAGTCTTTGGGCACCGAAAGCCTGTGATCCTCTGCCTTTCTGTGAATTAGGCTTTGGATCATGGGATTCTCCCTTGGACCTCTGAGGTTGTACCCCCTTGGCGTCTGGGGACCTTTTTGAAGATCCTCTAAGGGAACACGTAGGCCATCTCAGGAGCATATGAAGGGAACCCCTTGGGGGGTCTTACGGCTTAGGGTTTAGGGCTACATCCTTATAGGGGTCCAAGCTCGACTCCCGTGATTGCAGGGCCGAGAAGAGCTCAGGTCTCTGCCGTGTACTCGCCGTCACCCATGCCCATAACCTGTCGAAGTGCTGCACCGGAGGACGCATTCTTTCGCCTAGACCCCAACCACTACCTTCTAAGGCCTTATGCCCTAAACCATAAACCCTAAACCCTAAACCCTAAACCCGAAACCCGAAACCCGAAACCCTAAACCCTAGTCTGCTTGCAGGGTTTCTGAGTCTGGGTCGTGCAGGGCTTGGCTCAGGCTTGTGGGGTGAGGGTTTGATTCTGATTCTGGGCCATGGATGAGTTTAGGGCATAGCGCTGTGGGGTGTTTTACGGCGGTTTAGGTTTTAAGGTTTAGGGTTCATGTGTTGTAGGTCTTTGTGGGCAACGGGATTTAGGGTGTACCAGCGACACCTTGTACCTTACAAGCACGGATAGCCATACCCACTACAGGAAGGCAACAGTCAAGCCCTAAACCCTAAACCCTAAACCCCAAACCTCAAACCCTAAGCGGGCGGGGGGGGACGTGAAGAGAAGCCAGACCTGATGTTGGGGGTTGAGGGTTTGCAGGACCTAGGGATTAGGGTTTAGGGTTTGCAGGGTATAGAGATCAGAGGGCCTAGAAGTCTGTTCTCAGAATGTGATCCCTTTTCCCCTTTGTTCGGTACGCTGTGTAACATGTCTCCAGCTGCACCTATTTGGCAGGTCTCGTCAGCTGTTTGAAGTCAAGAGTTGCAATCAGCCATAAACCTTAAACCTAAACCCTAGACCACCCTAATTGGGACCTTCAGCCCCAGAATGGACTCGGCAATCTCAGCTGCTCGGGACAGCACGCCAGGGCGGCGTGGCGTCTGCGCAGGAAGGTGGGTATGGTGATTTGGCCATGACTGGGGTAGGGTTTAGGGTTTAGGGTTTGGGGTTTGGGGTTTGGGGTTTGGGGTTGGGGTTCGGGGTTCGGGGTTTGGGGTTTGGGGTTTGGGGTTTGGGGTTTGGGGTTTGGGGTTTGGGGCTTGGGGTTTGGGGTTTGTGGTTTGGGGTTTGGGGTTTAACTAGGGTTTAGGGTTCAGGTTTATGGTTTAGGGCAACATCAAAGTTATATTGGGTTTGTATGCGGCTGAGCAATCCACATCATCCCTAGAAGACCAAGCGAGGCTTCTGTAGGCTACACATCTGCACACGCCAGTCCTATACAGAAGCTCGTCACCCTAAACCCTAAACCCTAAACCCTAAACCCTAAACCCTAAACCCTAAACCCTAAACCGTAAACCCTAAACCCTAAACCCTAAACCCTAAACCCTATTCAGGCTCGGCAGAAGCAGGATGGATGGGTGGCACACATCCCGGCAGTTCACTGCGTCTAAAGTGAACCGACATCTATACGAATCTATACTGAACTGGGCACCCCAGCCAAAAAAATACTTTTGGCCGTTCCTTAGGGATTACAGTAACAAAAAATGTTTCCAAGTGCCCCGAAGACATGGGCTTCGGCAACCTGCTTCCGGAAGAGTGTGAACCGACATAGAACCTTGAGCCAAAGCACCGAGGGCCCTGTTGGCAGAAGAGTCTCTGGCAGAGGGGCCTACATTTTCTTAGAAGGTAAGGAAAGCGAAACCCTAAACCCTAAACCCCAATCCCTAAACCCTAAATTTGGACGCTACTGTTTAGCCTGAAACAAGTCACTGGGCCTGCTGTGGCAGGGGCAGGTTCTTCAGCACCGTTTCGAAGCATTTCACCGCCTTCAGGATCAGCCCCTGCCAGCGAGGCTTAGGGTTCAGGGTTTAGGGTTTAGGGTTGAGGGTCTAGGGTCTAGGGACGCACACGCTGACTGTATGTCGCGCCATTCTGCTTTAGAATGTTCTTCATATATGACCCCAATTTTAGGGTTCATGTGGTGCTTAAGGTATGGATTTCAGGGAACACCAACTCCTGGTCTTCAGTGATCTCCTAGAGGCCTTGAGCCACTACGGTCGACAGAAGCCACAGGTTTTAAACCAGGCCTAACCTTAAATCCTAAACCCTAAACCCTAAACCCTAAACCCTAAACCCTAAACCCCCTTCTCCAAGAAGTTTATGAGGGCCCCTAACCTGACCGTCCTAGACCGGACGCAAGAATCGCGAGGAACCCTGGAGTCCTGGAGCACGGGCGGGTGGATTTCTGCCTGCTTCCGGGTTTAGGGTTTAGGGTTTAGGGTTTAGGGTTTAGGGTTTAGGGTTTAGGGTTTAGGGTTTAGGGTTTAGGGTTTAGGGTTTAGGGTTTTTAGTTTCTGGGGCTGGTAGGCTTAGGTTTCAGCTCGTTTTCATGTGGCATTTGGGAGCAAACCAGGGTCGAGTGTTATTCCAGCAGTCCGAGACCTTCCTCTCAGGATCAACTCAATTTCGACTTAAAGGTTTTCGCTATTTGGGTTTTACGGTTTAGGGTTGGATCCGATGTTTGAAATCCAATCCTTAGGCCCGGAACGCCCTAACAGGGCTGACACTAAGTGTCCCAGATGTCTGCTTATAGCACTATCATGGAGAAAACTAAGGTTACCACACACACACACACACATACATAGTATGGGCTTTTGGGCTCATGACATGCCACCATCAATTCATGAATTGAGTCATGATGGTTCTATGTGGAGACCTCTGGGTACATGGTCCTTAACCCCATAAAACCCCAAGACGGCGCGGATGAAGGAATGTTGGCGCACCTACGTCTGGCACAAGGCCCCTCAACCCCCCTTCAACCCTTAACTCCGTAGACCCTATAGCTGAATGCAAGGAGCTTGGGAGGCTCTCTGGCAAGGGGAGAAGGGAGGGGAGGGGGGAAGGGGGAGGGAAGGGGGAAGGAAGGTGGGCAGGGAATGGGGAGGGGGGGGGGAAGGGGGAGGGTTACAAAGGTTCAGGGCTCAAGCTCCTTCGGGCTCAGGGCTCAGGGAGCAGCATTTGCATTCTCCAGCCAAGCCTACCCACCCACCCTTTGGATCCCATTACAGACCTTGCGTACTTGCACAGTAGGACGATATATGTGTGTGTGGACCTCAGACAGAGTGCCCTAAGCCCTGAACCCTAAACCCTAAACCCCCTAAGCCCTCTTTGCATATAGTAGTGCTTCCACATAGCAGTACGATGAGTAGATCCGAAGGGTGTGACGACGCCTGCTCCTTGTCGTGCAGCTCCAGAACGCGACGGCAAAGGTTTTCATAGACCTCCCGCCAACATGTGACCCCCCCAAATTCCTAAACCCCAAACCCGAAACCCTAAACCCTCAACCCTGAAGCTTGTAAAGCCTAGGAGTGTAGGGCTCCAGGGATTCTTCCTTGAACCTTTTCGCTTTGAGGTCTCCCTTTAGGCCAATCTCAGGGCACGGATGTGTATGGTTAAGGATTCAAATGCCAGAACGGGTGGGGGGGGGGGGGGGGGCCCTAAACCCTAAACCCTAAACATCTCGGGGTCACCCGGGTCCCTTAAGGATGTGTTCGAATGAGGCACCAACTTGGCATGCCTCATTTCGAGGCTTCCGAACAGGGGTTCCTAACATGGGGGTTTAGGGTTTAGGGTTTAGGGTCAGCATTTGGGGGCATACTCGGAGTACCCCATTCCTGGGAAACACCCTGTCTTAGGCACCCACGCCAAATCCTAAAACTCACCGAAGCCCTGAGCCCTCCCCTAGAAAAAAAAAGTATATACTTTCTAGGTATACGTAGCCACAATAATAATGTAGAGTATAGCACTCCAAGACCCAGCAAACCTGAAACGCTGAACATGCAAGGGAGCCTGGGACAGGAGCATCAAGGCTTCGAAAGATGTGGAGCTGAGTTGAGGGCCCTCGCTGCCACCTCGGACGGTTTAATTGGGAGGTGGTTTAGGTTCTAATCAGACGGATTAGGGTTCAAAGTCAAGAACATGGAATTCCCAGGTTTACGTGCTGTATGAATCTTCGCATGGAGGGCCCACGACTCCAATCGGCGTGCCGGGCTCCATGTTCCAGAGCCCAGCATACAAAGTACGAGCATTCGCCGATGCTCCAAAGCACAGGCTAAGGGCTTACCTGGAGTCTCCAATGAGTAGTCCCTGTTTGGCTTAGTTCTAGGGGATTCTAGTATACTACTCCAAACAGGTACTACATGCGAGCCTTTAGTGTAGGTAGGGTTCCAAGTACAGTAAAAATAGGGCAGGCCATGACAGACACGTTAGGCCCTTCGGCCAGCTCTGGCTCCGCTCATCGCACTATGGGAACTTGGCGCCCAAAACCACATACTACGTAGGGCTTCCGGGCTTCCAGGTTGAGGGTTTAGGTTTTAGGGCTAGTGTTGGGGCACCATTAAAATTGATCTTTTTTTGTTCCTTGTTGGGTTTAAGCAATCATAAACAGTGCAAGATGTTTTTCAACAATGACCCAGCTACGTAGGGCTTATAGGGTTCTCAACTCCATAACCATTTCTGTGGGTGGCCCTCTTGGCACCTCGGTCACTGAGGTTGCTTGTAACCTACGTTAGGGTTGGGGTTTAGGGTTTAGGGTTTAGGGTTTAGGGTTTAGGGTTTAGGGTTTAGGGTTTAGGGCTTAGGGCTTAGGGCTTAGGGTTTAGGGTTTAGGGTTTAGGGTTTAGGATTTAGGGTTTAGGGCTACATGTCAAGGTAACCCATCGAACCTGACTTGGGCATGTCGCGACGCTAGCCATGCTTCACCGATAGATCTGTCCATCGACACAGGGTCAGCAAACGGAAATGAAAAAGTCAAGCATTCATATATATATATATATATATACGTATGTACATATATATATATACAATGTGGAAAAGATCTGACCGACGGATAAAATGATAAAGGAGGTCGGACGCGATAGGGTCTAGGGTTTAGGGATTAGGATTTAGGGTATATAAGGGTCTAGGGTTTAGGGTTTGGGGTTTATGGTGTTTAAGGTTTCGGGTTTAGGGTTTAGGGTTCGAGACAGCGGCTTAAGCCAACACCGCCGGCCTTTGCCGAAGCGGAGATACTGGGAGCTCGACCACGGCTGCTGCCCATGTCAATGGGCACCAGCCTGAAGAGAGCTTGGTTTAGGGCTTAGGGTTTAGGGTTATGAACCCTAAAAATGGGGTCATATACCCTATGTTACTATAATCCCTATTCGAGTATGCACCATAAGCCCTTTAAGGTTTCATGTAGTCCTTGAGGTACTACCCAAAAAAGGTACCAAGTAGGAGCCCTTGGGTACTATTCAGGGCTTAGGGCTTAGTAGTTGTCCAGTAACCTGGGGGAATTAAAGGTTAACCTTTGGGATTACAAGGGGATGATACTACCCCAAAAAGGTCAAAGGTTACCTACTCTACTACTAGGTTAGGGTCTGCGTGCAACCACCCCATGTCGGCTAAGGCCCCTGCAACTTCACAGAGTCCTCTGCATAGCTTTTTGCTCCAGAGAGGTCGCCCTTCCAGTAAAGGACCTGGGCACCGGCAGGATCTATTTGGAGGGTTTAGGGTTTAGGGTTTAGGGGTTAGGGTTTAGGGTTTCCCATGAACCCCTTTCTTAAGGGACCTTAAGCCCTAAACCCCAAACCCTAAACCCTTTACTCTCTAGATCTATGGGCCGAGCCCGCTTACGGCTTCGGACGGCGTAAAAGAAAAGTGCACCTCAAGCGTGGGGTTTGTGGTTTAGGGCTTAATTTAGGATTTAGGAATCATACTGGATATTCCCTTGGGCTATTGATTCTCAGCACGAATGGAGACTGATTCCTGGGAGTTCTACAGGGGGTGTGCTTAGAGTAACCTCGTACCCGACAAAAAAAAAGCAATGCACCAATCATTAAGGTACGCTTGCCTTCGATTCATGCACAAGCTTGCTCTAGGTAGACCCGAAACCCTAAACCCTAAACCCTAAACCATAAACCCTAAACACTAAACCCTAAACCCTAAACCCTAAACTCCTCCGTCCGGAAACTAAAGCCAAGTCCAGGCCTGTCTGAGTCGTACAGCATTCAGGCTTGGGGATTTAAGCAAGCCTTGCTAGCGGCTGCTAGCGTGAATTTACGCTTGTGTGTCACCTACCCAGCCCTCAACCTGAAAAGCGCTAAGCCCACAAATCGCCCTAAACCCTAAACCCTAAACCCTAAACCCTAAACCCTAAACCCTAAACCCTAAACCCTAAACCCTAAACCCTAAACCCTAAACCCTAAACCCTAAACCCCGCGGCTACTTTCCCCGGAACTCTAGGCACTGATTCTAAACGACGGCAAATAGGATTCCTTCATAGAGTTCTTACGGGAGGAGGGTTCAAGGGGGTAATGTGCCCCAAGGTTCCCGAACACTCCCTAAGCTTCCCTCAGGCTCCCTAGGTACCTACCCCCCCCCGCCCCCCCCATGAACCTCGCTCCCTGAAGAAGCCTATAATTCCCTCACAACCCTCATGCGATCCATCGCGTTTTTCTATATATATATATATACATATGTAGATATGCCATTGTGAAAAAAACGAACAAACACCAAACCCCAAACCCCAAAACACCAAAACCAAAGAACCCAAAAAAAACAAAACCAAAAAACAAAAAAAAACGAACCCAAAGACCCCAAAACCCAACCCTGAACCCTAAACCCTCAACCCTATAAACCCTATAAACCCTATAAACCCTATAAACCCTATAAACCCTAAACCCTATAAACCCTATAAACCCTATAAACCCTATAAACCCTATAAACCCTATAAAACCTATAAACCCTATAAACCCTATAAACCCTATAAACCCTATAAACCCTATAAACCCTATAAACCCTATAAACCCTATAAACCCTAAACCCTAAACCCTCAACCCTAAACCCTCAACCCTAAACCCCTAAACCCCTAAAAAAAAAAAAAACCTAAACCGTAAACACCCTGAACCCTAAGCCCTACATCCTCAACGCGCTGGCCTGCGCAAGCTCAAAAGCCAGCCGTCCGGTGGTCTTTTGGTCGCTGGCAACCTCGGCCAGGGAAAATGGCCGGGCTGAGGGGCTTGAAGGATGAAGGGTTTGCCTCGTTTAGGGTGCAGGGTTTAGGGTTTAGGGTTTAGGGCTTCTTTGGGCGTGGGCCTTTCCCTTCACATCATTGGCGGGGGTTGAGGGCTTTAATGTTAACGTCGCTTTAATACCCCCCCCCCTATCTTGTTTTGGTCCCCGGGGTTTTGAGAGCTGTGGGAAGGCCTACCCTAAACCTCCTCAACCCCTAACTCCCTAATCTCCCTAAGCGCCCTGAACTCCCTACAAGCCCTAAACTCCCTAAAAGCCCCAAGCCACTTGAACCCTAAACCCAAGGCCCTAAACCCTCAACTCGGAATCCCGAAAACCTACTACTGCACTAGCCCAAACAACTTGCCTGTCTAAGGGGATATAGAAGGAAATCACACCGAGGAACCCCGAAAAAGGTAGGTTTTTCTGGGCTACAAGTAAGCCTCATCAATGTCAACACCGAACCTTACCCCCCGGCCTGGGCCACCGAATATGCCTCCTGGAAAGCCTGGCGCTCAGCCCTGGTTTAGGGTTTAGGGTCTAGGAATTCCTCAAAGGGGGAAGGTATCCAGAAATCGGGGCTTCGGAACCTTTTTGGGTTTAGGGTTTAGGGTTCAGGCATCTGGGGGGGTGGCGCTGTTTACTTGAAGCTCCCTGGGTATGCGCGGTATAGCACGGTTTAGGGTTAAGGGTTTAGGTTTTAGGGTCTGCAAACAAGGCAACTGCTCACAAATAAGTTCCAGGACATAGAACCCTGACTTCCCTCTTGCCTCGAAGGTTTGGGGTTTAGGGTTTAGGGTCTAGGGTTTAGGGTTTAGGATTTGGGGTTTGGGGTTTAGGGTTTAGGGTCTACCAGTAACCTGTCGTTGTGGAGTCAGGGGTGCCACGTCTGCCGTGGCTTTTGACTCTTCAGAATTGGAATAGGGTTTCGAGTTTAGGGTTTAGGGGCCTTCAGAATTGTAATCGGGCTTTGGGATGTTATTATCGTGCAATTATCAAAGGGGCCATGAGGGAATAATATCGGCAAATACTCCGAGTAGCCCAGTGACCATATTATAATGAGGGCACCCTTTTTTTGGGTTGGTTACTTTATAAGGGAACCTTGAACCCCCAAAAAAGGGAACAGGGTACCGCTGGGCTAAAAAGGGAATCCCTAAACCCTAAACCCTAAACCCTAAAACTGCTATACGATGCTAGGTCCACTGTTGGGAAGCATTCCTTGCGCAACCTTGCGCAAGGCGATTCAGAAGTGCGGCTTGCGCTGCCCTTTGACGCGCTTAGGGTTTAGGGTTGAGGGTTTAGGGTTTAGGGTTTAGGATTTAGGGTTTAGGGTTAGGGTTTAGGGTTTAGGGTTTAGGGTTTAGGGCTTAGGGTTTAGGGTTATAGACATAATATATATATATATATATATATATATATGGTTCCAGGGGTGAACCCGGCCCCTGCGTTTTGGCACTTTATGTAAATACACGAAACGAAATCACTCGTTTGGATGTGTTCATAGCTGCGGACAAAGACAAGCGCATGCAGGTTTGCGTACAATGCATATCCAAGGTGATGGCAAAAGATGGCAGCTGCAAAGCATTTCTTTCAAGCAGCTAAAGCACGAGATGGTGTTCGACGAAGCAAGCGATACTGTCAGGCAACTTGGAAAAGACGTACGACATCGCACACGCGTACTGTGATGAGGTTACCGTGATCAAAAGAGTGTTGGCCGTTCGCTGTGAGCAAGCTGCGTGCCTGGTACTCATCTATGAGCAGACGCCATTTTTGGCGATCTGAATGAGACGGTAAGATCCCGGACATTCGCCGACGGATCCAACGCTCAATTACGGACCACTTGCACTCGATGGCGTTTGTAGAGAAGCCACTGGAATTGGTAATCTCTCCCTGACTGTGGTTGACTATCTCATGGCGAACATCCGCTTCGGAGAAATTGTTCATGTTCTTGTAAGAGTTGAATGCCGAGACCGTGGCCTTCCACTTGTCGGAGACAAAGATATCTCCTCGCCTCAATCCTAATGTCTGGATGTTTTTAAGCATCTCCTTGTGGCCACGGGGTTTGCCGTCCAACGCATCATCAGGATGGTCCAAGATCCTGAAGATGAAATGGGTCTTGATGTGTTCATGTAGCACGGCCCCCCAAAGCCATACTTGATCTCGCTGCGGGCGACCAGTGCGAGAGAGAGCATTTCGTTTGCGTTTGTTCAAGTGCGTCTCATCAGTGATGAAAATACGAGCCTTTCCTGCAAACTTGATATGTGTTTTTCTCACACTTGGTCGTTTCTCATTAGCTGAAGATGCCGAAGGTCGCTTCAATGTAGTCTTGCTCGAAGATGCTGATGGTCGTTTGTAGGCCTTTGAAGCAGGCTTCTTCGTAACTGTACGGCTAGACCGCTTGGAAGATGCAGTATAAAGACGTTGGAAAAGTGGACCGTCGAACCCCTGGTTGAGTTGTAGTTGGTACCATGCACTCAAATGTCTGCTGGAAGGATTGGGTCCAAGCATCGATTCGCTTGTGGTCAGTGGGATGCAACTCGCGAAGAATTTGCTGTCGAGGATATTCATATATCCACATCATGAAAGTTTCCAATTTAGGCATCCACATGTGTTGCGTCACGTTCGAAAGGAATCCAATTGAGCTAGCCTCAGGCTGCTGGTCTAGACACTCTAGACAGCCTTGGGTTTCACACCGAGCTCCAATCCAACGATATCGTGAGCTCTTGAAGCGTAGTTGGTAAGGCGTCTGACAACCCGGACAAACACGCTCAGGAGGCACGAGATGCAAAGCCTGTGCTGCGAGCAATGCTCGCGTACCCAAGGTATCCGGGAGGCCACCAGTATCACGAACACGACTGTACTTCACGATGTCAGAGAATTGGGTCCTGTTGAGAAGGTCTGCAGACGAAACCGCGGCTCGGAAGGCACTCCAATCTGCATAGCATGCCATTGCAAACAAAGAAATAACTATAATATCTCGAGCCACTTATACAATAACATCGAGAAGTCAGGTGAACATCATGAGCATCGAGTGACATGGGTACCATATAGATGCTGGACTGATATACGACAAAGACGGGCTATGCGTGAGACCATATTTTGTGCAAAACTGCTGCGGCTCATGCCGGTACTCATACAAGATGCTGGACTGACGTACGACAAAGCCGGGCTATGCGTGAGACCATGTTTTGTACAAAACTGTTGTGCGCCCACGCCGGTATTCACACACTCACTCGGCAATATCCATGGTGTCGGCCTCGTCCATCATCCGCTCGAGTTCCTGCTCCATATCGTCTGGGACGTGACTAACTTGTGGCATGACATCATCGTCGTCTGTGTCAGCATCATGAGCAAGACTAGGGAAAGCAGGATTGGACGGTGCTGCTACGCTGACAGCATCGGCGAGTTTGGCACGCTTTGACGACGGCATGACTGAAGTGGACGAGGATGCGGTGGCCTTCTTGGGAGACGGCGAGTCCAGGTCGATGGTATCTGTAACTGCCTGACCTTTGAGGGAACGAAAAGCTGCATCAACCTTTTCCTTCTTGACCTTGACGCGAAGGTCCGGTTCAGGAAGCAGATGTGCATGAACGTCATGTGTAGACCTTACAGATGCGACTACGTTAAGACTGAATGGTTACCCAGCGGTCCTTTATAATCCCTTCCCCCTAATACTACAACCCCCCCTAATTTTAAATATTATTTTCCCCGGACCCCCCCGGCACCCAGCCCAATACTAAACCTGTTTGAGAATTAGGGGGGGGGGGGGGTTGAGGGCCATCGCCCTTGAGTTCTTGAGTTGAGCCATTAGGGTTTCAGGGTTTAGGGTTCAGGGTTTAGGGTTTTAGGGTTTCAGGGTTCAGGGTTCAGGATTTAGGGTTTAGGGTGAGGGTTTAGGGTTCAGGGTTTAGGGTTGAGGGTTTAGGTTTGGGGTTCCCTCCCTCCCTCCCACTTATTTCGCTCAGCGAGCTCTCTGTGAGCTGTCTGCGAGCTCTCTGTGACCTGTCTGTGAGCTGTCTGTAAGCTCACTGTGAGCCTGGCTCTCCACAGCCTACCTCACTGCTTATACGATCTGCCGACAGAGCTTCCCTGCCTGGCTGTCTGGCTTAGAGGTTCAGGGACTCGGGCCAAGGGCTAGTTAAGGGTGTTAATTAAGGCAGGGAAGTCTGTCTGTCTGGCTTTTTTAGGTCGAAAAGCACATCACCAGCTAAAGGGTGGCCCTGCCTGCCTGGCTTTCTGGACAAAAGCGGCAAGTCTGACTGCCTGTCTCTCACTCTGGCTGTCTGCCTGGCCAGGGTTTGGGGTTTAGGGTTTGGGGTTCAGGGTTTAGGGTTTAGGGGGGTAGGGTAAGGGGGTAAGGGTGTAGGGTCTAAACCCTAAACCCTAAGCCCTAAACCCTAAACCCTAAACCCTTTGGACCTGCTCCACGTGCCGTGCAGTGTCGTCGGCGAAGCTCATCCAGGCATCCTGCGGTCAGGGTTTATCTTGGGTTTAGGTTTAGGGCTTAGGGCTTAGGGTTTAGGGTTTAGGGTTTAGGGTTGTCTGTCCTGGCGTCTTTCGGCACACGTGGCTTTCTTCGCGATGATGCCCAACTCCTCCTGCACGATAAACCCGAACTCAACCCTAAACCCCCTCAACCCCTAAACCCTTGCCGGCCCTTGCCTGCATGCCTTGCAGGATGCCTGTCTGGCTGTCCACAGTCTCCTGGCCAGGGTTTAGGGTCTAGGGCTGAGGGTTTAGGGTTTTAGGGCTGCCTGGAGCTGCGCTGTCTGGCTGGCCATCTGTTGCAGCAGCTGCACGACTGGGCTGTCTGCCTGCCGGGCGGTTTAGGGTTTAGGGTTGAATAGGGTTTGGGGTTTAGGGTTAAGGGGTTAATTAGGGCCGGGCTGTCTGGCTGCCTGCTCCCACTTCCTGCCAGATTTTTTTTTTTATTTGGGGGGGGGGGGGGGGTGTTGCGGGCAGAGGACATGGCCACCCCCCCGGAGGCCGGGTCTGAGCTGAGGGCTGTGAGGTGCATGACTTTCCTGCTGAAACGCTCGCAGGACGGAGCCGACAGCTTCCTGAGCTGCCTCGCATGTGTTGCATGGTCTGCTGATTCGGTATGCCATGGCATGAAATCTCTGGCCTCCAAGAAAGCACCAGGTCTGACTGGCTGCAGTCTCTCGGAGGGCTTACAAGGCCAGGCTGTTTGTTTCGGAAGGGTGTAGGGTCTAGGTTCAGTGAGTTTATATTAGGGCTTGAGGAGGGCTTGGTCTGGCCTCTAGGCCACGGCCTGCATGACCTGTTCTGCCTCTGCTGCTGTATGTGCCTGTCTTTGCTGAGATGCTGCGAACAAGGACGAGTTTTTGTTCAAGACTCCTGCCATGCCGGATCCGACGAGAGGAGACGGGCGAGTGCTCAAAGATGTCACTGCTACTTGAAGGTTCATGGCACTTGCTAACCAATTAATAAGGCCCTTTAGGGGTATTAGAAGTAGGGTTCTAAGTACAGTTATAATTGGTTAGTAAGTACCATGAACCTTCAAGTAGTGCTGCAAGTGCCACTGCCTCTTTCTTTACAGCTCCCTCTTTCTTTCTCCTCTCTCGGCTTCGAGCTGAGTTTCCACAAACCCTTTGGAAAAGGCTGTCTTGCCTCAACGTCACATCTTCCTACCTGACTGTCAAGGCGGTGGCAGCTGCCAGACACGGCCAACTAGATGCAAGCCTGCTCTCTCCCTGCAATGGACGCAGCCATGGTCGTGCTGTCTGCACTTCATGCAGCCCAACACCATGTCTCTGGGCTTGTGCAGCACGAAACCGCCCCTCAGAGCCACAATCTCTATGTCTGCCTGACAGGAAACTCTGTCATGCCTGGTGCTTCCTGCAGCAGAACCTGGCCTGTCTCGCAGCTGCAGGAGCAGGCCCCTCCAAGGCGGACTTGTGTTTATTCAAAAAAAGAAACTAGTTCATGACAAGGGCCTCGTTGTTCGTGGCTGGCTGGTTTCGCTCGGCCATCGCTCTGCCTCGCAGGCTGCAGGTTAATTAATTATTTTGCTGCTGCGGGGACCTATCGCCCTCAGCCGGCCTTGGCTGCCTCAGGAAGCTCAAGGGCTGACTGGATCGGAATCTCTGCCAAAAAAGGGCTGCGACTGTCTCGTCTTCGGCTTTGGGGTTTTATTAGGTTTCGGAATTCAGGTTTTAGGATTTAGACCCCCCCTAATTTTAAATATTTTTCGGGCCCAGACGAATTTCAGAATTAGGGGGGGGGGGGGTTTAGTATTAGGGGGAAGGGATTATATGCACATAAGTCCCAGCTTGGATTCGGACGCAGCATCACCAAAGCGCCCACGTGGAGTGCGAATGGTACATGAAGTCGGAATTGACTCACCGTGAAGAAGCCGTCGAAGAACTTCTTGGGACCACAGACAATCTTCATGGCAAGAAGGCGGAAGTTGATGCTTGTCGGGGTTCATTTTGTATTGCTTGAAAACCCAGGTTTGTGAGGAAGACATCAAATCCTTGGGCGTATTCTCCTCCCAACGGATGAAGTCCACAGGGTCCTTGCTTGTGTTCGCTACGCGGAAGTACAGGCCATGATCTGTGATGACAATGAGGTGAGTGCGTGCCATGATTGCCCCCATGTCCTCCGGATCTTCAACTGCACAGAAAGATGGCTGGATGAGCTGTAGAAACTTGTCGTAGGGAATCCTCCACAAGTTGTTCTTTCGCATACTAGCAAACATCTCGTCGTCAATCCTACGGTCACAGGGATTGCTGCAAGCATGCCGTCCAGATCCTTGATCAAATTGTGCAGAACAGTAGCGTGCACAGACCGTGGCATCCTCTTCCTGGCAGGAAGGAGATGCGTTGCATCGTGCGGGATTGGATTTTGCAGATTAGGTTTGTGTCAGCAGAAGCATGCAAGTATGAATACAGAAGCCAAGACGCAGAGGGGTTCAGGAATGCCTTCAAGAATGAGGAGTCCATGCGCTGAAGCATCCCGTCATCGAAGACTCCAGGCTTGTACTTCGTGAGCGGCTCCGATTTGAAGAAATCGAGATGTTTCGCCGTCACAATGGAGGGAATGAGGTCCGTGCGCTCAGCTGCCTCTATCTCATACTTCGATTGCATGAACAGCACAGTTTTAGATCCCAAGGATTTGCCAGTTCGAGTCCGGCCAATCCAAGTTATGGCGTGCTGTCGCATGGTGGGCAGCATTTTCACAAGCACCTTGTTAAAGAACCAAGGGACGAAAGACTTGAAGGTAAAGGGCCAGTACTCCAATGTCTTGGCGTTTTGACGACCCTTCATGTAGTTGTGAAGAGCCTCTTTCACCTTCCCCTCAGGCCAGCCCTCAAGCTTACCACCAGCCAGATGGATCTGCTCATCAGTCCACTCCATAAACTGGTTTCTGTTGTTTGAGCGAGGACCAAACTCTCTGATGAACTTGTACCCTTCCTCCCGCGCCTGCTGGTCCACAGTGATTTTCTTCTCATGCTTAGGCTTGATGACCCAGTGACGGAGTTGCTTCCCACCCATTTTGTCCAACATGTAGTTGAGACCCATCAATGCCAGTCGTGTTTGGGAACCCCAGTCAATTCGGAGAGGAGGTTGGCCTTTGACAGCAAACAGCTTCATGCATCACACGCTGCTCAAAAAACCAAAACTTGAAAAACCAAAAAAACCAAAACCAAAAAAACAAAAAAAAAAAAACAAAAAAACAAAAACAAACAACAAACAAACAACAACAAAAGCCATTTCCTAGGAACTCTTAGAGGGAGACTTCCGGAAAAAAATGTGTTTTTTGTGTTTTTTGGTTTTGGTTTGTTGGTTTTGGTTTTTTGTTTTTGATTTTTTTGGTTTTGTTTTTTTGGGTTTTTGTGGTTTTGGTTTTTTGGTTTTTTTGTGTACAGCACCCCAACACTGAAACATCGCCCCTGGAGCGTGTCGACATGCACGTCGGACGCGACGTCGCGTACCTCATACAGAGTAAAAGTGCCAAAACGCAGGGGCCGGGTTCACCCTTGGAGCCACATATATATACATATATATCTCTCTCTCTCTCTCTCTTCCAGGTCGTCCCAAAAGCTTCAGAACTTCGGCATTGCTTCAATAAATAGCCCTCACGTTGAAGCTCCATTTTGCAGAGGCAAGTGTCGTAGGATCCTCGAAAACCCAAACCCTAAAAACCCTAAACCCGAAATATGCCTCGGGATCTGGAGCACTTGGCCTACCGAGGGCTCGGTGCCCCCCGTGAGCTAGAAGAAAAGGGTTTAGGGTTTAGGGTTTAGGGTTTAGGGTTTAGGGTTTAGGGTTTAAAGGGAAGGTGTGGCAGCGTTCTTTGGCTCTAATTCGGTTTACAAGAGATTCTGAACCTAAAGAAATTGGCATCCCAAAGAGGTTTAGGGTTTAGGGTTTAGGGTTTAGGGTTTAGGGTTTAGTTAGGGTTTATCTCTACCCTACGAAAGCATGCCTTGATTCCTGGGGCCTTTCCTTCTCCTGCTAAGCTTGAGGTTTTTTTGGTTCAGCATTTAAATTTAGGGCTTCGGGCTTAGGGTTCCCCTAAACCCTAAATCCTAAACCCTAAACCCTAAACCCCAAACCCTACAGCCCAAACCCCCAAACCTCAATAAGCCCAGGCTCTGCAGTAGCTTTGTCCCAGTCCTCTCTACGAGACCACGCCTTAGCAAAATGCCCGGGAGACATTTGCGGGGGGGGGGGGGGGGGGTTAGGGTTTAGGGTTTAGGGTTTAAATTTAGGGTTTAGAGTTTAGGGTTTAGGGTTTAGGGAGGGTTTATAGGGTTTAGGGTTTCGGGTTTAGGGTTTAGGGGAAATATCCCAAAACCCTATAAACCCCCAAAGCCCCAGAAGAACATGGCGGGGCTCACAGATGAAGGGTCTCGGGGGCTTTCAAGCGCGGCTACGCCCTTCACGGGGTTCTTGCAAACCATTGCGGAAGGTACACCCGTGCAAACATCGCAGGCGGATGTGAAAAAGGGCTTATATCCTCCTTGTCAGGTTTAGAGTTTAGGGTTTGGGGTTGAAATTCCTTGTATCCCCAAAAAGGCACCCCATATATATATATATATACACTCACCAAAATTAGAAAGGAGCCTTATATAAATTCACCAAATACAGCAATATGAACTCTACTTCAATATAGAGGCTTGCAGGATAACCTGCCAAGAAACCTTCTGCTTCATGTGGTAGACAGGCTTACTTCTGGAACAACGTAAACATAGGTTACATAGAGGCTCCTATGTAGTACCATTTTGGGGTAGTATACTAGAATCCCTCAGAACTAACCCAAAAAGGGACCAGACTCCGGGTAAAAAAGCAAGTTGACCTTAGTGAAAGCCTATGAGAAGGAGCCTCTACACATGCTCAACGTTCACAACTGGTGGCCAAGTTGGCCAAGTGGGCACTTCGCAACATGGGGGGGGACAGCACCGGCATTATTTCCGAATCCAAAAACCCCGATAAGCGGAGACCCTCAAGAAATGTTGCCTTTTCCTGCAGCATGAGTCGCATGTGGTACGGGCAGCAACACGCCAATCCGGGTGTAGGGTAGGGTTTGGGTCCAGGATTCAGGGTAATGTTCAGGGTAGGCGGAGCAACTGTGTCAGCCACAGCCCTAAACCCTAAACCCTAAACTCTAAACCCTAAACCCTAAACCCTAAACCCTAAACCCTAAACCAACCCTAAACCCTAAACCCTAAACCCTAAACCCTAAACCCTAAACCCTAAACCCTATCCAATCCCTAATCCAACCCCGTGCAATCTCAAACATGAACCCTGCGAGCGCAACATGCCCCAAACCAGCTGTGGATCCTGTGGCAGCCTTGGGTCCAAGAAAGAACCGGGTTTAGGGCTTAGGGTTTAGGGCTTAGGGCTTCAGGTTTAGGGTTTTGGGGTTTAGGGTTTAAGGTTTAGGGTTTAGGGTTTAAACCCTAAACCCTAAATACCGCAGGTTTGGGCCCTGAAGACAACACCACCGCGGCCTATTTGGGGTAGTATACTCGAATCCCTCATAACTAACCCAAAAAGGGACTTCATTGGAGACTCCAGGTAGTTGTGCAGGATGTACTGTGTTCAAAACGTTTGGCTGCGCCACTGAGCAAGACAGCCAGACCAGCGCCTTCATGACGAGGTGTGCAAGTTGCCAGATCAGCCGGTTTGCGGTGCAGGGGTTTAGGGTTTAGGGTTTAGGGTTTATGGTTTAGGGTTTAGGGTTTAGGGTTCAGGGTTCAGCATTAAGCTTCGGCGGTTTAGGGAATTGGGTTTATAGGGCTCAGGGTTTCGCAAATCGGGTTTGGGTATCAGCTTTTCAGCCTAACGTCAGGAGTAGCATGCCAGCAATGGTGCGACAACGAATAATACCTGCACGCGCATGCAGCCGTGGAAAAGGAATTTGGGGCGCCAAGTACCTTGCCAGAGAAAGAACCACGGTCTACGTCGACGAGCTCCCCGCTCCTAGTCTGGAGTGATTGGGAAGGTAACCTAATCCCTATACTCTCAGGGTTGTGGCAACTTCGGTAGAGTTCAACGCTCAACCCGAACTGGTTCCATCACTGGCCACCCCCGGAAATGATCATGGGATCGTCACAGGTTCACACCTCGCGGAATGCCCCCATGGGCCTGCAGATCCCCCTACATCTTCAAACCAAACACCTGTGAACCTGCGCCGCGTGCTTCGCCTCCCATGCTAGACCCAAGAGTAAGCCCAGAAAGAAAAAGGGTACTCCTTTTGGTTCAAAGGTGTTTTATAAGGGAGCCTAAACCCTAAGAAAAATAATAATATGGGCCTACTCTGGGTCCTAACATCCGAGTCTCATGACCCAGTCTCATGACTCACGTTGCAGACTTCCGGCAGGGTCCCCTTGCACACATGCATGGGAATCTCGAATATGGCATAGGTCCAAGCCCAACATATGTCGAATCCTTTCCGGGGACCCGGTCGCGGATGATCTGTTCGATGTTGACACAGCCTGAATGACTTGAAAACACATCATTGGGCCCTAAACCCTAAACCCTAAAATCCACACCCTATAAACCCTAAACCCTAAACCCTAAACCGTAAACCCTAAACCCTAAACCCTAAACGGATGGCCCCCAGGACAACTTAGAAAGTCAACGTCGATCGGAGCTGTTAGATGCTGGTTTGGACAGCAAGAGCTCCAACCTTTGGTGCATTGCAGGGCTGCTTTCTCAATCACGACAGACAACCAGCTTCTTTCAGACTGATATAAGGGCCTTAGGGTTTAGGTTTTGGGTTTAGGGTTTTGGGGAATATGATAGCTTATGCATATAGGGACCATAAGGGAATATGTTTTCGTAATTTTTCCGAACCCATATTCGAGTCTAGAGTAGAGTGCAAGCAAAGAAACAACAACATGTCACCGCTTGCTTCTGGGCGGGGTCGGGTAGGGAGAGCTCAGGGTTTAGGGTTTAGGGTTTGAGGTCGTCTGGGCCACGGAAGCCATCGAGAGCAACAACACACAATACCTGCAGGCACCTGCAAAGACTGAAGCATCAAACACCCTGCCAGAGACAGCGCTTCAGTCTACTTCGAATCACAATCTCAAACACTTCTAGACTCTTACTCAACCCAAACTGATTCCATCACTGCACCGCCCCCCCCCCCCCCCCCCCCCTCGGCCGGATCTCAAACTCAGACCTAGCAACCTGTGAACCTGCACCAGCCGTGTCTCATGACACAGTCTCATGACGACTCTTTAAATACTGCAGAGTCGGCAGGGTCCCAGTGCACATATCCATTGACATCTTGAAACCCGAACAGGTCCACACCCAACACATTTCGGATCCTTTCCGAGGACCCACCCGGCCTTCTTCGGAATCATGAAAGCAATAGAAAGATCCAACTGCTGCTCAGCTATGGGTGTAGGGCTTAGTCGAACCCGAACTCTTCTTCAATTGTCAGCAAACGGACAATCCCCGAGGGCCAAATGGCTGAAGAAGGCGGACCCACAAGCCGTGCAATCGACCTTTAGGGAACCCTAAGCCCTAAACCCTAAACCCTGAACCCCAAACCCTACGTAAAGGTGGATTTAGGGTTTCACATGCGTGGCCTACATGTACCCCGTGGAGTAACGGAGGGAAGCTGTCCACCTACTGGACCAGAGCCGGTTACTTGTGAACTAGCTTCATAGCCGTCCGGCCATGCGATGTATTATTCGAGTCCTTTTAGGGATTATGGGGCTTAAGGCTTCGGCTAAACCCTAAACCCTAAACCCTGAATCTCTGAACCACACGGTTTCTGAGGTGGATGAGGGGGCGTGAAGGATGAGCAGCAGCTGAGACTACTTCCGGCCTGCACAGTGGCACTTGCCATCTGCACAGTTCGGGCAAAAACACTTGAAGGTTCAGGTGTAGTTCTGATAGGTAGCCTAAATCATGTTCTATAACCAGCTAGAGTTTTAGTCACTTTACTTCTAGCCCCACTTATAGCTACCCATGAGCAACCTCCAAGCAGGGAAGGAGTGAGGGTATTGCGCCGCCAGGTAGGAAGTGAGGCCGCTCAGGGCCAACACAAAGCATCCGCAACACAGGTGGTGAGAGGCGCCACATAGGGGCGCCGGAGTCTAGAGCACCACCAACACAAACTGGTAAATGGGAAACCAATTCGATGGAACTGCTGAGACGGGACCTACTGCCACTGGCAACTTCACTGTCTACAGATCGGGGTCAGTCGGAAAGAAGGACATGGTTTCGCTAAGGCCCCGATGCTGCAGGATTGCGGCAAAGTACTCTGTCAGCTGGTCCTCATCTTGCTGTCGAAGGCGCTGGTTGCGCCGCTCCACGAGCCCTGCAAGACCCTCACTAGGGGGATCATCAACCTACACTGAACATGGAGCCCCAGCAAAAAAAATAGTTTTAGCTGTTATTTCTAAGGAATCCGAATACCAAAAAGACATTAAACAAAAATACTCCCAAGTATCCCTAAGCAACGACGACGACTTCGTAGATCTCTGGCCACTCCACGAAGCGCACGGATTTGCTGGCTGGCCCGCAGCTGTCGTCTGACGAAGCGGAGCCAGCCATCTCATTGCGCTCCGGGGAGCCTTGGTAGACTTTTACCTTAAGGACGAGATGAACCCTAAAGTTGGGGTCATACACCCTATACTACTATAATCCCTATGAGAGTCAGATGAAAAAATAACCCTTTGTAGGGTTCATGTAGGCCTTAAGGTTAGCAACAGAAATGGGTGTAAGAAGGGTACCCCTTTTGGGGGTTCGCGTACTTTTGGTCAGAACCCCGAAAAAGGGGGGGGGGGGGGGGGCGGGGGCAGAAGGGTATACTCAGCTACCAAGAAGCACTCCGTCTTGCAGGCCTCGACATGTCGAACGCGGCGACGAGGCGCCGGAGGCTGCTTGCGGGTCTCCGTGGGCTTCGTCGGTTGGAGCGCCATGGCCACGGCTTGGCTATGGCTTGGCTATGGCTTGGCTAGGATCTCAAGCTATCCGGCTGCCAGCAAGCCAGCTCCTCGAAGTTGCTGCAGTTCACTCTTGCAGACCAGAAGACTGCCCCGAATCTGGGGGAGGGGGACTATATGAGGCGAACACACAAACTGCTGCAGCCCAAGCGGCGTCCCCGAGCCGGGCCCTGAGCGCCACCGAGGCTGGGTGTGCCCGGCCAAAGGCTCGCTCAGCGAGGTTGCAGCATCTGCCCGGCTTAGGGTTTAGGGCTTAGGGTTTAGGGTTTAGGGTTTAGGGTTTAGGGTTTAGGGTTTAGGGTTTAGGGTTGGACAAAAAATGGTGGTCATTTTATTGGCACATTTCCCTCTTGTAAGGGTATGTATAAGTGACTCCAGGTAGGGTTCAGAGGGAGATAATGGGGTCCGGAGCTGGGCCTACGGATTGGGGCTTGGTGTTTGGGGTTCGGGGTCTTCGGTGGAATGGTTACTGACAGTGTGGGAGTGTGTTGATCATCTGCACCTAGCACCCAAGAGCAACCTAGACATACAACAAAAAGTACGATTCTTGGTTTAAAGAGACTTGTAGGGGAACCTAAACCCTAAACAGAGAGAATAGGGGCCTACTCAAATGGGTCCTAGTATTCAGTGGCTAGACAGTATATGAACCTCAACGAAGAGGCGTGGGTTTGCTTTGTTTTTGGCTTCACAGTGGTCTAGAGGCGCTGGGTCCTTGGGGCGAGCCTTGGCAAGCCCTCTACAAATTCGGAATCCGAAACCTTAGATGGTTTGGGGCATGTACTAGTAGGGGTATTTGTCCGAACAGGATCCCCTAAAATCCCCGCAAAACAGAATAAGCCGTGTTTAGGGTTTAGGGGTTTGGGGTTGATGGTTTAGGGCGGGTAAACAGCTTGCTGAGAGGCCGGCTTCTCCGTGTGCAGCGCAGCTGCAGACCAGTTTCCCTTCGCGCAGCCGGAGTCTGATAAAAAAACCCGGGGTTCCCGATGGTTTAGGGTTGAGGGTTTTGGGGTTTAGGGTAGAGTAACCTTGGTCCTTTCAATAACTGGGAAGATCTACCCAAAGATTAAGGGCGCACTTCATTGTTTTGAGAAAGTGGTGCGCCTGCTGAGCGTAGAGCCGTGCCGCCGTGCCCTCCAGGCGCAACATCAGCACCGGCTGGTCTGGGGACAGCCTGCTTGTACGGTTTTGTGGGTTATACCCTACTAATCAAGGGTACTTACTACTAATCTGTAGGTAAACAGAGCCCCAGGTAGAACCTAAACTCTCAAACCGAAAAATATTTGGAGTTTAGGGTTTAAGGCCGGAGTTCGGTTCGAGAAAAGCCTCTTAAATTGGGCCACATGCGACATGGTTGGCGTGCTGATTGAGTCATCTTGTGCCTGAGAAAGAGGGTCCATATGGGGGGGTTTCCGAAATTAGGGTACCTATTTTGGGGTCCTTCTTCTAATGGAGTCTTACTATTTGGGGGACTATATCGGGGATCCCCTATCTTCGTAAACCCACAGACACCCAACACCTGAGGTACCTTCTCCCTTTGTTGAGGATATAGAGCTTCCTCCAGGCCCCAAAGCCAATAAACCCTGTAAATCCTACAAACCCCAGAAACCCTGTTCTTTTTTCATATTAAACTCGCCCCCCCTCCCGCCCCCCCCCCCCCCAACCCCCAAGCCAAAAAGACGACAGTAGTCAGTCGGGGGAGGGGGGGAGGGGGGGGCGGGGCGGATCCCCAAGCTGCCAAACTCCCCCAAACACCGAAACCCTCGAAACCCTGCAAGCCAGCTTCACCCTAAAACCCTTTTCACACCACACCCTCTAAACCCTATACACCCTAAACCCCAAACCCGGAACCCTGAATCGATCCATCAATCTGGACCACTTAGGGTGTGGGGATTGGAGGGTCCGGGGTTTAGGGTTTAGGGTCTAGTACACTGTAGTGCCGGGGGTGGGGGGGGGGGGGGATTTTCATATTGAGGGTTTCGGCTGATGCGTGTAAGAAAGCATGAGACACAAATGGCACCAGACGGCTTCTGAGAGTTGAAAACATGTGATTGGTTTAGAGAGCTAAGGTTAGGGGCTTACCTAGAGTAACCTTAAGTACCTTCAGCAAATAGAATTTTACCCGAACAATTAGGGGGTACCTTCCTTTTCTTAAGGGTAGTCCGGGAATGAGACTGCCCCAGCATGCCCACCCCGAGCACCTTCCAATACCACGCAATTTTTCCGAAACCTTAAACCCTAAACCCTATAAACCCTAAACCCAAAGCCCTAAACCCTGGCTTGCTGCAAGGCTTACGTTGTTTCTTCGGGCTTACGGATTCATAGCCCTGGCCAGCTGTTTAGAGTTTAGGGTTTAGGGTTTAGGGTTTGGGGCCTGTCCCATTCCATCTGCAGTCGCTGCAGGCGTGCATGTGCCTCAGGGGCGGTTCAGGGTTTAGGGTTTAGGGTTTAGGGCTTGTACGGGCGAGCTGTTGAGAACACTCGGATAAGCCCTGTACAGCCCTCCATCAACAACCCGCCGTCGGGGGGGGGGGGGGGGGGGAAGCGTAAAGTAGCTTTCCTAGGGTCCGCTTACATAGTATGGCAATGGAACCTTTGGGGTTTAGGGTTTAGGGTTTAGGGGGCATAAAGACTATCCCCAAGGTCCTACCTAGGTACTGTGTATATGCGCACCCTGTGGGGGGCCCTGGACTTCGAGCGGGTTCAGGGCTTGAGGAGTCTAATCCTGTTTTAAGCCTGCCCTTAACGCTAAGACCTAAACCCTGAACCCAAAACCCTAAATGCACAGGGCTTTTAGGTTGTTTTTGTTGGAGAACCGCCTAAACTTAACATTGCCACCAATCCCATCCCCCTTAACCTATAAACGGAGAATACAAGGAAGGAAGGCTGTTACCATACCCCTTCATTTCGTTTCAGGTTATGCCCAAGGGATGTGTGAATACTTCTTGGCTCCCGTGCCCGCTGAAGCTTCTCATTTGCAGAGAGGTTAGACTACAAACAAATGCGGTCAAAGGTTACCTACTCAGTACTGAACCCTAAACTCTAGACCTACTCTTGCAAGTATACAGACCGGACTACAAGCACATCGCGGATCCCTGCCTCCACGTGCTTCTCCAGCAACCACTCCGCTTCAAATGCGGCAAGTTGCGCCCACCACGCCGAGAGTGGACTGAGGGATTGGAGGTGTGGGGTTCGGGCTTGTAAGGGTTTAGGGTTTAGGATTTGGTGATGGGGTTCTCAGGTTTCAGGCTATAGGGTCACTAGGTTCTTGGGCTTTAGCTGAGAGCGTTGTAGGGTTTAAGATCTTAATAATGTTTAGGGTGATTGGTTGTAGGGTGGACAGGATTTGGGGTTCTAGGGTGTTGGGGTTTTGAGGGTTCACATTTAGGGTGATAGGATTCAGGGTTGAAGAGGCTGTGTGGTCAGCCGCTGTGTCAGAGGGCCTTCCATGCTCGGACATCAAGTGTTGTCATGCGTGTTGTTCGAGAATGAGGGCATTGTTTAAGTTGTGCCCTGTTGTATGTTTGCACATATACATATACATGTACATAGACATAGACATAGACTAAACCCTACACCCTAAACGCTGAACCCTGACCCAACTTCAGCCTTGTTCCTTGCCTGGGCAGCATTTGTGTCGCGGAGTCTGCAGCCCATAGGGCCTTTTTCAAGCCTCAGCCAAATTTGAAAAAGTCGGCGGCTTGTAAAGGCCAGCCAGGTCTTAGGGGCCGAAAACCCTAGCCCAAAAAAGGTTAACCCTGTATATATACTAGGATTCTATATAACCAAGAAGGTGAAAGGCAACCTACCCAGTACTAAGGGCTATATTAGGATGGCCATTGAAGCTCCTGAATATGATCCTCTCCCAAGGGCCTACGTAGGATTGTAAGCCTCTTCCTAAACCCTAAGCCCTAAACCCTAAACCCTAAACCCGAAACCCCAAACCCCTAATCCCCTATGTGATTTTGCGAAGCCAGGGCCTTGAACCCTAGCTGCTAACGGTTGTGCGCTTCCGGCGGAAGCTGGGGAAAACGCGGAGCAGAGTACTGAAATCCTCTTTCTCTCGGAACCCCTCTTAGGGTAGCTACATGGTCCTTTAGTGTGGGCCCTTAGTTGTCGGAACCCTTGCTTATATACCCTGTCAATGCTTCAGAACCCTGTTAAAGAAGGGAAGTGACTATCTTGAATATTGGGGGACCATATCCCTAATTTCGGGAACGCCCAAGTAGGATCCCTGCTTCGGGTCGGGAGTTGCGTTTGTGGTTGAACCTGGTTGGGTCTAGGGATTCGGGCTGATGGCTTCGGTTGGGCTTGGGCTTTGCAAAAGCAGGATTCTCTTGAGCTACTCAAGGTGCCTTTTTCGGGGGGGCTGAGGGTTGCCTAGGCATCCTTGTCCCTTAGAAACGAGCAAATATATACCCAATAAATAAGGCAAAGTCCCGTTTGGAAGGGAACAAAGGTTACTTTAGGTAGGGCATCCGGCTTAGGGTGAATCTGACCTCCGTAGGCCGAAAAAAACAACAACCCTGCGCCTACGGCTTATTGTCTAGGGTTTACAGTATGTATGGGTACAAAGTAGACTGCCATATAGAACAGGGAGCCGAGTTGAGGCTCCTGCTTCGACAGCCCTATAGTATACTTCGAAACTACTTGTTGAGGGTTTAGGGTTTAGGGTTTAGGGTTTAGGGTTTCGGCTTTAGGGTTTAGGGTTTAGGGTTTAGGGTTTAGGGGGGAGCCCGATCCTCTAACAAGGAAGCCATTGGGAGGCCTTGCAAAGGCAGTACCCTGAACACGATGGAGGTCTCTTCTGTTGTCCGCAACGCCGAAAACAACAACTTCTTTCCCGGTTAGGGGTCGGGGTCTAACTAGGGTTCTGGATTTTTCTTATGAAAGTATACCCCTTTGGGGCCCTGCAATAATAATATGAAGCCCAACTAGTGCCAAGGGCACAGAAGTGGAGGGAATCTGACCATACCGCAAAGGGCCGAGTCTGCAGCAAGTTCTGTCCACTGTCGGCCCTGACTTCATCATCACCTGCCCCCAGGGACCCAGACTCCCGGGAGGATCCAAAAAAAGTAGATCCTCTTAAGGGGTCCTAAAAATGACCCAACAGTAGTATAAAGTACTATTTGGGGGCTCTATCTGGGTTGCGGAGTACTCTAGGAGTGACAAAGGGTTTTACGCCTCTGTTTAATGGTGTTTGTTCAGGGTGGCTGTCCCACGCAGGCATTCGATCCTCCCATGTTATCGGGCATTGTTGCGCGATTCTTTCGGTTTAGGATTCAGGGCTTAGGGCTGAGTGCTTAGGGCTTAGGGTTTCGGGTTTAAGGTTTAGGGCTTAGGGTTTAGGGCTCAGGGACTTTAAGTTTCCAATCCAACACAAAGGGAAATCAGGACTCGCTCGGGCCGCTCGAGGTTCCCGACGATTAGCAGCTCTGAACTTGAACTATACTGCAACCAGTTTTGGGGCTTCGGGCTTGGGGTTTAGGGCTTACCTGGAATCTTCAATGTAGTCCCTTTTTTGGGCTGGTTATAGGGGATTCTAGTATACTAGCCCAAAAAAGGTACTACATAGGAGCCTCTAGGTAGGGCTTCCCTATACCCTGAAACAAGGGAAGAGTGCCTTGATTCTTGTAACTGGCAGTACGTGCGGTCTGCTTTCCGACGCTTGCAGACGGCCCACGCCCTCTCGCGGTTCTGCCTCTTGCTCCAGTACTTCTCCCATCTACCTGGAGTCTGCAATGTAGTCCCTTTTTTGGGTTAGTTGTAGGGGATTCTCGTATACTACCCCAAGAAGGTACTACACAGGAGCCTCTAGGTAGCAGAAGCATTTTTGCAAGCGGGACAGCGGAAGAAGGGGCCAGGCAAGTAGCTCCAAGCGGGAGCTTCAAGGATGGCCGTGTCCTCCATCTCATCAACCTCTGGCCTGCTTGACTTATTGCGCGTGCGGCGAAGAACCTTCTTGGGCTTCGTGTCCTCTGGGGGTGGCTAGGTCATTGGGCTTAGGGTTTAGGACTAAGGCTTCGGGCTTGCCTAGAGGCTCCTGTGTAGCACCTGTTTGGGGTAGTATACTAGAATCCCCTAGAACTAAACCCTAAACCCTAAACCCTAAACCCTAAACCCTAAACCCTAAACCCTAAACCCTAAACCCTAAATCCTTGAACCTGAAGCCCTACGATGCACCTCAGCGGCCATCTCGTCGACAGTGTCCGGATCTTCGACGGGCTTGGAAGCCTGCCAGTACATTCTGAGCCAACTCTCTCGTTCTCATTATTCTCATTACCCTAAACCCTAAACCCTAAACCCTAAACCCAAAACCCTAAACCTTAAACCCTAAACCCAGAACCTCGGAAAAAAGATCTCGGCAAACCTGCTTAGTTGCCAAACATATGTTGCCAGCGTGGCCCAAATTCTGAGAGATCATGCGCCTTAAGGACTACATGAACCCTAAAGGGGTTTCTGGTTCATATACTCTACTAGGGATTATGGTATCAGTATAGGGTATATGACCCCCCAATTTTAGGGTTCATTTGGTCCTTACTGTAAGGTGGACACACAGAATCCTTCCAGTGGTCCCAGTAAAGACACCTAGAGCCTAGCAGCCCAAAAGCGGCGATGCGCATTCGGCGGTTTAGGACAATAGGGGACCCCTATAATAGACCCCAAATAATCGGATTCCCTTACAATAAGAAGCTCAATAATAAACCACAAATAGTAGGATTCCCTTATCATAGGACCCCAATATGGTACCCCTAAGAAGTAGCCCCCAAATAGTAGCCCTTATCATAAGAAGCCCAACATTGCTACTCCCCTAAGTTTCGGACACCGCCATTTAGGGCGAACCCCGACATCCGCAAGTGATGGCAGTTTCGCATGTCACGAACTGAGAAGCCACGAAGTGATATGGCTCGGTTCCGAGGACATCTTAAGGTTGTTACATCGTCCCTTTACCCCATAAGCCCAGGTCCATACATCAGAACCCTTAATAAGGGACCATATAAAGGGCACATGGAACTACCCGTAGACGAGAGCGGTCACACGCGTCCCAGGTGAGAGCACGCCGCCCGCCGCACTCGAGCTAGCCCCGCTTACTCCGAACGTTAGAACCCCCTTGAACATAAGGACCATGTTTGGAGCATTTTGCCATGTTAGGGGGAACCTTTAGGTGACAACCTTAGGGGCACGAGTCTTGATACCTGAATCTGCGCACACCCGCATCTGCCCTCTGAGCCAAGAAGGACCCCACATAAGATGTTAGGGCTTAGGGTTTAGGGTCTTAGAGCCTGAACGATTCCTGGAGTCCATGACTGCAACCATTGGTTGTATGAGGGTCGCGCATTCTTTGCCATCTCAAGCAATGCCACCGCAATGCCCTGGCGCGAAGTGACAGTGATCAAATAACCTATGCTAGTGCAGTTCAGGGCTTAGAAGTCCTAAGCCCTATACCTAAATCCTAAACCCTAAACCCTAAACCCTAAACCCTAAACCCTAAACCCAACTCCCTGAACGGCCTTCAATCACTGCCCTGGTCTACCCTACACCGAGCATTCACAGTGACACCCGAACTTTGCGCCCGGCGCCTGGCCTTCAGTGCTAAGTATGCCGAACCATGTATGATAATTAAGGTTTAGGGTTTAGGGTTTAGGGTTTAGGGTTTAGGGCTTAGGGGTTAGGCTAGGACTTGTGGTGCCTGATGCCATCATAGCAGCTGGCCCCGTAGCTGGTAACAAACCGGACCCAGGAGACCGTGGGTTTAGGGTTTAGGGTTTAGGGTTTAGGGTTTAGGGTTTAGGGTTTAGGACCGTTTGCACCCTGTATGTCCTTCCCAGAGCGCCTACTGCCCCTTCGTGACGGAATATACCTTACATTATGCATAGGGGTCCTTGTTGTGGATTCGAACCTATTCCTTATAGTTTAGGGTAACTTTCGTCAGGTAGAAAACCAAATCCAGCTTCTGAATGGGTATTTGGGGTAGTTGACCTTCCAGTACAGGATTTATGAGAGGATGTCGGTGGACTAAAGTTTGGGTGTAGGGTTTGGAGTTTAGGGTTCGGGGCCTTCGGGCATTAGCCACAAAATTAGGCATCCCAAAAAAGATATCCAATAACAACTAGCCTATACTTCCAGGGACCTAATAACTCCGTTACCAGAACCCCCCCCCCCCCCCTAAACTCATGCTAAAGTCCTTGAGAGTACTACGTAGCAACCGAATTCCGGTGTCCCTGGAAGTGCCTAAAACCCTAAACCCTAAACCACAAGCCCTAAGCCCTAAGCCCTAAGCCCTAAACCCTAAACCCTAAACCCTAAACCCTTGTGGATAAGGAAGCCCTGGCCTGAAGAATCGCCCCGGTGGCAGCCGGGGCTTCGCCCAAGGCGCGCGAGAAGGTGAGCTGCAGCTTTAACACCTGCAGGGTTTCGGGTTTAGGGTTTAGGGTTTAGGGTTAAGGTTTAGAAGTCTTAAGGTTTAAGGTTTAGAAGGTTTAAGATTAGGAAGGTTTAAAGTTTAAGGTTAGAGGGTTTAGAGGGTTTAGGTTTCAGGTTTAAGGTTTGAGGTTTAAGGTTTCATTTTTAGGGTTTCTGGTTTAAGGTTTAAGGTTTCAGGTTAAGAGGGTTTATAAGGTTTGCAGGGTTTGCAGGGTTTGGAGTGTTTGGGGTTTAGAGGGTTTCGAGGGTTTCGAGGGTTTCGAGGGTTTCATTAGAGGGTTTCGAGGGGTTTGAGATTTGGGGGTTTGGAGGGTTTCTAGGGTTTATCGGGTTTACTAGGGCTTGAAGGGTTTACAGGGTTTAGGGCTTCGGAAGACCAATCCCACCGATGTTTTCAGCGCGCAAAGCTCTCAGAAACTCTCGGGGTCCAGCGCTCAGCATTTGTGGGGTCTGAAGGGAGATGCCCCACCCTAAGCTTGAAAACCTCAAAAAGTCCATTGGTCAGGGAGTCCTTCTCCGGGGGGGGGGGGGGGGGGGGGGGGGGGGGGGGGGGGGGTGTCCGCCAGGTACCACTGAATGAAGGACGGTTGTAGGTGGGTACTGTTTATACTATGGAAGATCAACTGAAACGGCCGATGTAGAGCAGGACTGATCAGTTTATCTTTCGGTATAGGGCTTGCCTGGAGTTCCTTTCAAAGCGCAAAGTGGTAAACTCCACGCAACGGTACAGCTTCAAGACCTAATTAGACCCTGTACCAGTCCCGCATAACAAGCCCCAAATCCTGAAAATGGCACAGTAGCAAGAAACAGTAGCAAGAAACGGAGAGGCAGCAGCGGCGGGGGCGGGGGGGGGGGTCCTACAAAAGCCCATGTATGTGTATATATATATATATATATGTGTATACACACACACACATATATATATATACATATATCCGCCGACCCCAGCTTTGAGCGGGGAGGCGCTAGTGAAGACTCCATGGCGTCGCCGTAACTGATTTTGAAAGGCCCCAGTGCCCCGCCCTTCCCGCCCCTAGCCCTCCCACCACCAACCACCCTTCCCAACCATTCCACTCCATCCTCCTCCCCTACCCCTTCCCCACTCGATCAGATGACTGACTTTAAAGACTGACTTTAAAGGGCTCCAGTGCATGCCCGCCCCCTCCGCCCCCGCTCCCCGACCCCCCTTCCCTCCCACCCCCCCCCCACCCCCCCACCCCACCCCCCCCCACCCACCCCCCCACCCATGACTGACGAAAAAAATACCCGCTCCACTTGCTCCACCCACTCCGCCCACCCCCCCCCCACCCCCACCCCACCCCCCCCCCACCCGCCCACCACCCGCACCCCCCCCCACCCCCCTACCCCCCCTTCACCCACCCACCCGCCAACCCACCCCCCCCCCCCTCCTAGATTACTGACTTTGGACTGCTTTAAAGGCTCCAGTGCTCCGCTCCCCCCACCCCCCCTTCCCTCCCAACCACCCCCTCCCCCCCCACCCCCCCCCCCCACCCCGCCACCCCCCCCCTCCCCCCCCCCACCCCCCCCACCCCTATGACCTTTCAAGACCCCCCCCCCCCCTACCTCCCCCCCCCGCCACCCGCCCCCACCCCCCTCCTCCCACCCCCCCACGCCTCCCCGCCCCCGCACACCCCCCCCCTCTAGATGAACTGTAACGGCTCCAGTACATGCCCGCCGTCTTTGCTTGCTCCGCCCTCCCACCCCCCCCACCCCCCCCCCCCACCCACCCCCCCCCCCCACCCCCCCCACCTCCGCCACCCCACCCCGCCCACCCCCCACCCCCCCGTGCCCGCTCCCCGCCCCCAAAAAAACAAAGGGCTTTCACCTCCGCTTGCTCCCCTGCTTCGCTCCCCCACCCCCTCCCCCCCCCCACCCCCCCCCCCTCCGCACCCAACCCCCACCCCCCCCCCCACCCCCCCCCCCCCCCCACTCCCCCACCCCACCCCCCCCCCACCCCCCACCTGACTTTGGACTGACTTCCCGCCCCCCCACCTCCCCCCCCCCCACCCACCACTTTAAAGGGCTCCAGTGGACAAGACCCGGAAGTGTATGCACACCACGGTCCAGCATCTACTGGACCCGGTATATAAGTGTTACGTATATGTCTATATGCTTAAGCCACGGTCCGGAGCTTTCACCGAACCCGGAAGTGTATGCACACCACGGTCCAGCATGCACCGGACCCGGTATATTAGTGTTCTGTATAATTATGTATAAACCACGGTCCGGAGCTTTCATCGAACCCGGAAGTGTAGGCACACCACGGTCCAGCATATACCGGACCCGGTATATATAAGTGCATATACCCCCCCCCCCTGCCCCGGTCGCGGATGGCCTCTCAGCACACTACCGACTAAGCCCTCCTAATGCCCTTGAAACCCTGAACGCTCAACCCTAAGCCCTAAACCCTAAGCCCTAAACCCTAGGCCCTAAACCCGAAACCCTAAACCCTAAACCGTAGACCGCTCACTCTCCTCCTGCCTCTGCGAATTCGTCGAAAGATGGCCTGCCATCCTTGTTCTTGTCCGGTTTGCGCGGAGCATCAGGTTGAGGGGTCGGCGGCACTGGCGGTAGCCATTAAATCGGGCAGCGCGAGGTCCCCAAAGGACCGAGCAAATGCGGACCTTTTAGCCCGGGTCGTCCCGGGAATAGCCTTGCTGGCCTCTGGCCTTCTGCGAAGCAGAATTAGGCCGGACGCCAGTGCCGCCGACCCCCGCGTGCCGCCGGTGAACGGTTTTTTTTTCGTGGCTTTTTGCGTCGCCACGGAGGCCCCCAGAGGGCGCGCATCATGAGCATCAGCGGGTCCAGCCCGGGACCCCCAGGCGCGCATCAGGAGCATCAGCGGCTCCCGGGGCGGGATTTCGGGGGCGCATCGGGAGCATGATGCCCCCCAAAGGGCGGGCATAAGCGATGTGTCTAAGCCCGGGGCTAGGAAAAGGGGAGTTTAGGGGCCGTATAAAGTGCTTAGAAACTTTAAGGGAGTCTAGGAGCCTCAAACGCTTAGAGATTTGAAGGAGGAGCCTCAAACGCTTAGAGATTTTAAGGGAGTTTAGGGGCCTCAAAATGCTTAGAAACTGCTCGCCCCGCGCTTCTGCCTGCGCTGCCCGCCCATGGGCGCAGCCCCTTAAAATAAGATATACCTAGAGAGAGGAAGAGAGCGAGAGAGACACAGAGAGAGAGAGAGAGAGAGAGAGAGAGAGTGCGAGAGAGAAAGAGAGAGAAAGAGAGGGAGGGAGAGAGGGAGAGAGAGGGACATGAACAAAAATATCGATGTAGTAGTACAAAATAAACATTCAGCAGTTAACATAATACACATCTCTCCATGTCCGGCTTTGCAGAGCCTGGAAGACGCGATCCCACCGCCCCTCACGCGTGTGGCGTGTGGGCGCCGACACCGCCTCGGCGGTTGAGGAAGTTTAGGGTTTGGGGTTTAGGCTTTAGGGTTAGGGTTTAGGGTTTAGGGTTTAGGGTTGAGGGTTGAGGGTTGAGGGTTGAGGGTTGAGGGTTGAGGGTTGAGGGTTGAGGGTTAGAGAGTTGGGGGCCTGGGTTACTTACAATGCCCAACGACACAGGACAAAACAACTGAGGCTCTCGGATGCTGCGGTTCTAGGGCTCAAGCCCCCCCCCCCCCCCCCCCCCCCCCAAACAAGCTTTTTGGGTTTAGGGTTTAGGGTTTAGGGCTTAGGAGTTTAGGGTTTAGGGCTTAGGAGTTTAGGGTTGAGGAGTTTAGGAGTGTAAGGTCAGAACAAATGCAGGGTCTTGGGCTGCTTGGGCTGAAAGCCTTGAAGAGGTTTGTGAGGACCCCGGGGTCTTGTGGCTTCTTTGGCCGGTGGTTCGCCCTAAAGCCTGAACCCTAAACCCTGAACCCTAAAGCCTAACACTGAACCCGAGACTGGGCCCACTCAACCCCGACGAAAACTGAGAGTACCCCTTAACTTAAAGCAAGCACCTCCTGCAGGGTTGAAGGCCCACTCAGTAAGTTTGGGGTTCACCCTAAACTCCAAGCCCTAAACCCTAAAGCCTAAATCCCAAACCCTAAACCCCAAACCCGAAACCCAAAACCCTGAACCCTTAGGGTTTCGGGTGTAGGAGCCGAACTGAGCAGCAAATGTGGACCGCAAAAGGCGCGACCCCTGAATGCCTGAAGTCTAGGGCCTTCTTGGTATACAGGCTCAGGGAGACTTATAACCCACTTCTGGTATAGGGTTTAGGGTTCTTAGGGTTCATAGGCGAAAAACATTTTCACTGCACTTATAACCCACTTAAAGCCCCTGAAGTACCCAAATGTGGTGATCACTATGGCTGTAAGTACAGTTATACTCGGGTTAACAAGTACCATGAACCTCCAAGTATTGTGCCCAAATATCAAGGTTTATGGTTTACGGTGCGTGTGTGGGGGGGGGGGGGGTTCTTGAAGGTTCATGGGTAGTTCTCAGTACAGTTATACGAACCCCCAAGAAGGGTTACCACAACCTATAGCTATATGTGACCAATACTTCAGGTACATTAACCTTGCTTTTAAGTTTGGGCACTAACAAGTTGCCCTAACCCTAAACCCTACCCCTTACACCCATACCAAAATAGATTACAAAGACCCCATATCATGTAAACACCATAAACCCTACAATTGCAAATCTCAAAGGTTACTTGGAGGTTCATGGGTAGGTACAAGTGCGGGTACACGTGCGGTATTTGTAAGTATGTCTGGGTATAAACCTAGTCAGGGAAATAGCACCCTACTTATAACTGCCCATGAACCTTCGAGTAACCCTAAACCCTAAACCCTAAACCCTAAACCCTGTAGCACAGCTTGGCGAGGCCGGGACCGCAGACCACTCCTCTCCTCGCGCGCAGATGATGCGGACGTCGGGCACGAAGCCGCGGAATCGGGGCTCCTGGTGTTGGTGCTTAGCAGTGGGGTTTTTAAGGTTGGGGTTTAGGGTTTAGGGTTTAGGGTTTAGGGTCTTGGGTTTAGGGTTTAGGGGGTGTAGGGTGTAGGGTGTAGGGTGTAGGGTGTAGGGTGTACTGCCAGCGCCGAGATATGAAGTCCTTAAGGGTAACAACCGAATGAGTAGGTCCTAGAAGTATAGAGGCAGGGTTGTGGGGCTTAGGCGAGTTAATGGGGCCTTGTAGGAGTCGATTTGAGAAGCGTCTTGGGGTTTAGGAGGGTTTAGGGTCGGGGGTCTTTTGGGAGTCGGGTTTGAGGAGGGTCTTGCTGTTTAGGAGGGTTCAGGGATAGTAGGGATTCGTTTTGAGAACGGAGTTTAGGCTCATAGGGTCTGGGCGGACTTTACTTTGTTTAGGCTTTAGAGTTTAGGATTTAGGGTTCATGGGTGGTAAAGCCCGAGCAGACAACTGAGTGGTACCTTTCACACTCCCACATCCTTCCTTTCCACAGCTGCAACCTTCCCCAACCGTTCCGCAACCTCTCCACTGCCTTTCCGCCACACCTGTCTGCAACTTTCCACAATGACAACCTCACCGCCGCCTCCCCGCCACCTGTGTGCAACCTTTCCCCCACCTTGCCACAACATTCCCGTGGCACATCAATTCCGTAACCTGCCAACATCGTTTCCGCAGGCATGTGGCAACCATTGATATTACTTTTCAGCCCCCAAGTCTTGCGGAAAACTTGCCTTTTTGCTTGCCCTACAGCATGTGAAAACCATTTCTTTTTTAGGCCCCAAAACCTCGTGGAAAATTGGCCTTTCACTTCACGCGTAGCAAAGTTTTGCAACCCCAAAATCTTGTGGAAACCAACTAAGCTTTTTGACACCCCTAAACTTGTGGCAAGCATGGCTTTGCTGGCCCCCCAAGCCTCGGCGTGGGAAGTAAAGAGGTAGGCCCACTAGTTCGGGCTGGTCCAGCGCTACACCCTAGATCCTACCTGCGACTATGTCTACCCACAACTTAGTAGTACCTGCCCCTTCATTTGTAGGTAGAACCCATAAGACTGTAGGTCAAACAGGGTCCCAGGTTTTCCCTCATAAAGTCCCAGGTAAACCCTCATAAACCCTAAACCCTTTTAACCCTAAACCCGAAAATGTCCTTCACCAGCTGGTCGCGAGTCCGTCGCGTCTCTGCATCCACCGCGTGATACTGCTGCAGACGCTGCTGCCAAGCATCCTGTTGCAGGATTATTTGGGGTTTCGGGTGTACTTGACGGTTCCTGGGTAGTTATAAGTTATAAGCTATAAGAAGGTTTGTAAGTGCCCTGAATCAGGCTATAACCACTTACAGTTATAGTTACCCCACTTATAACTATAGTCATGAACCTCTAAGTTGAGGCTTAGATATTTTGAGAGGCCAGAGACAGGTGGGTTCCATGGGAAAAGGGGCGGCAGATACCTGTAATTCTACATCGCAGATGTTCTCAGGACATCTGCCCCGCCTTTGCTCCGCTGCCTGGCGCATAGTAACATGACCATGATCCAGAGCCCCAAGCATCCCTAAACCCTAACACGCCCTGAGCGCTTTCCCCCCAAAGCTCTAAATCCTCGGATCCCACCACCCTCCTGCACGCACGAAGGTGGGTTACACACTCAAAGCCCCACCCTTGTGCGAGGGTTTAGGGCTTAGACACGGTGTCACTGTCCTTCCCATCCCTCGACATTCCAGGGTCTAAAAGAACCAGCTGAAAAAGGGTTTGGGTGTATGTGCATTGTGCGTATACAAAATTACAGAATCATGAGCAGTTACACGTAAACATACTTATAAAACATGTCTTGACATATATACTTGGCTGTTCAGAGGAGTGTTAGCAGCGCGTTGGTCGAGGTTGGGTTGGGTGGTTCCAGAAACACCAAGGAGCCGGACCACGTGTCATTTACAGGAGGACCCGGCTTCGTTCAGCCACGTGTTAAGAACCACAGCTCTAACTGGGCATTTCCCAAAATGGGCATTTCCCAAAATAGGGGGCACCCTAAATATACCCCCAAAATAGTACAATTCTTAGTATAGGAACCCTACAAAGGGTACTTTCAGAAACCCTCAATTTGCTTCAGCGCTATCGCGCGTCTGGACGATCAAGGCACCGAGTATACTCGAGATCAGAGACAGCCGTTGGGACCCGATTCTGCTTGGCGAGCGCTTGAAAAGCTGCCGCCGCTGGCCGTGGCCTACGAGCCAGGGATCCTGTAAAGTCGACCTCGTATAAGCCAAATCTTTTGGAGTATCCGTAGCTCCACTCAAAGTTATCCATCAAAGTCCACCAGATGTAGCCGCGGACATCTGCACCTTCTTGCATGGCGCGCCTGACAACGACAGCTTGCGATTGCAAGTAGGAAGCTTGGTCCGCATCTGCTGTGGCAGGCGCCGGCGACCCGCCCGCTTCCTTGAAAGCCGCGCCTGCTTCTGTAATCAGGATACCGCCTTGGGTTGGCCCTTAGAACCATCCAAAGACGATTCCCCAACGTGATCCTCTTAAGTCTTAAACCCAGCAAAGAAAAAAAAGCAAAAAACAAATCCTGGAGGGCCTGCCCCGTGGCCTGGCGGCTGGTATTTCTGCTGAATGTACAGGAGCAGGCGGCCCAGTCCAAAATGTGCCACAGGCCAGCCAGTGGCGGTCAACTCGGCATCTAACGGCACCGCTGTTTCGTAGCTTGCCTGGGATGGCCCTTAAAACCTGAACCCTGAACGCTGAACCCTGAAACCTGAACCCTATAAACCCTAAACCCATGATCCTCTCAAACCCAATAAGGAAAATATGAAATGTGTCAAGGGCCTACCGTGTTGCATCGGTGAGCCAGCTGTTGCTGGGGACGGGCTTGTCTGGGGGTGGCGAGGCGGGACCACCCAGAAGCCCAGGCGGCGAAGCTGCACTGGGCACACTCTCCTCCGAAGACATCGCCTGCTTTTCCGCGATGGCAGCCTTGAATCGGGCTACTGGCACATCAGAGATGTAGGGAAGGATCTTCAGGGTTGCCTGAAAGTTCTGGAGCTTCCTCCAAGGAGTGTCCTCGCAGATGTAGCGCGCGGAATAGCAGTTCAGCGCGAAGAAATCGTTGGAGCCTCTCAGGGCTTCCTTCTCCGCGTCTGAGAACTTCGGCAGCCGCTCCCCAACCCGACTCTTCATGAGCTCTGGGTAATCGCCTGTGTACAGCGGATCAGCGAACCAGCCGATGTTAAACGCCAGAAACCGCTCGACAGCCGCAATGTCCTGTGGATTCTTTGGTTCCTGGGCCTCAGGCCACTCAGTGTTGAGGACCATAGCCAGTCGGCCCTCCGGTGGCTTTATTGCTTTGTATACCTGGGCCGCGGCTGCATGAGCCAGCAGCATGTGATGGCCCACCAGGTAGGGCTCCTCGCCTGGAGCAACGCTGCGCCCGGGCGCATGCGAGCCGAAGCAGTAGCCCACGATGCACTGCGTCCAAGGCTCGTTGATGGTGCACCAGGTCTTGATGTAGCGCCCCAGGCGGGAGAAGCACAGCTGCGCGTAGTCTTTGAACGCGTCCACGGTCTGCCGATTGAGCCAGCCGCCGGAGTCCTCCAGCCCCTGCGGCAAGTCCCAGTGGTACAGTGTGGCAACCGGCTCAATTCCGTTTGCAAGCAGCTCTTGGCACAAGGAAGCATAGAAAGCCAAGCCCTCTTCAGAGACGCCGCCTTTCACTGTGCCAGTCGGTAGTACCCGGGACCACGAGATGGAGAATCGGTATGTCCTGACGCCAAGCTGCTTGATGAGCTGCACATCCTCCTTGTACCGGTGGAAGTGATCACACGCCACGTCTGCTGTAGCATCTTCGAAGATGTTGCCTTGGACATGCGAGAAGGTGTCCCAGATAGATGGCCCACGACCTTCAGACGCCGCACCTTCAACCTGAAAAGCTGCTGTGGCCACACCCCACAGAAAATCTCGTGGGAACGCGCGCCAGTCCGCCATGTCCTCCCCGTCCTTCGCCTGCGCAAGCTCCGGAATGCTGGCGGCAGCAACTTGGGCCAGGCCCCGCCGTCGGAATCCCACGGAGCTTGCATCCTGGTAGGGTTCAGGGGTCAGGGGTCAGGGTTCAGGGTTCAGGGTTCAGGGTTCAGGGTTCAGGGTTTAGGGTGTATAGGGTTTACGAGATCTGGGTTCCGTCTCCTCTCCCTTCGAGGCAGCCAGAGCTACTCGTCTCCTGCGCGCGTGACCTGCATCCCTGGTTGCCAGGACGATGGCAACGGGCGCGGCGAAGCGCCACGCACTGGCCTGACGCTTGCGCCATTCTCCTTCCTCTCGTGCACGGTGATCAGTCAAGAAATGTGCAGGTGGATGGGTGGTTGTCCATGGCTGGCAAGAGATATGAAGCATGGCATGCACCCCTTCCAAACGGTCGCAGCTACTGTAGCCTGACCCATAACCCTAAACCCTAACCTAAACCCTAAAACCCTAAACCAAAAACCCTAAACCCCACACCCTAAACCCTAAACCCCAAGCCCCCTGCTGTCTCTGGCATCAACCTAGCAGGGCCGCCTTGCTGAACAAGTGCCCAGCTCTTAGGTTGGACACCTGACTGTTGAGCCTAACCCCCCCCCCCCCCCCACACAGCGTAACCTGTCTTGCCAGCCGGTGCGGCAATCCTCCAGCAAGGAACATATGCAATCATCAAGAGTTTAGCTCTCTGGCCTTTCTCTCTATGTCTCAAAAAACTTGGTGTCCAGAATTTTGGGACAGCCCTCGACTTCGACCCAAGAGTAACCTAGGACAAAGGGGCTCACCAGGGCTACTCTGGGTCACCCTTCCCGTTCGGACTATGCAGCCATATGCAGCCGGAGATAGCTCTACTGTAGCATGACGGCACACGCAGGCTTCCTGTCAAGTGTGGGCCTGAATCACTCCTCTCTACACCCCGAAACCAACCCGAAGACCTAAACAAAAGCCACCCCCACACCCCCCACATGTATGGCAAAAAGGCTGTACAACCCTCACTACCCCCTCACTTTTCGGAAACCTCCACATAGAACCTACAGCGCTGTGCTGGACTGCCTTTACGGCGTCCAGGTGCGGAAAGTGAGGCTGCAACTGGGCGGCAGAGCCAAAGCAGTACCCAGAGCTTGCTAGGGTTTAGGGTTTAGGGTCGTGTCATGACGGTTTGGGGCACCGGTTCAAAAAACCGAGGCTTTGTAGCAAGGTTTTGCTGATTGTACCTCAATGGGGCGACCTGAAATTTAGGTGCAGCTAAGGATTCGTGAAGGTGATTTCTCTTACAATCTCATGGCCCTTAGCTAATCATGGCTGATTTAGGTTGTGTCTGTATCTCTCAACCCTAAACCCAAACCCGAAACCCGAAACCCTAAACCCTGACCCCTCCCCGAAATTCTCGAAGGTGGCTTCTCCATAAGAGCTGGGCGCCCTGCGGCAGCTGACTCAAAGGAGGCCAGGTCCTCCTGATGGCCACGGGGGTTACAGGCGTGTGCCGTTTAGGGTTTAGGGTTTGGGGTTTGGCGTTTGGGGCTTGGGGTTTGGGGCTTGGGGCTTGGGGTTTGGGGTTTGGGGTTTAGGGCTTACGGTCTGGGGTTTAGGGTGTGTTTGGGGGTTTAGGATTTAGGGTTTATCTACGCGGGAGAAGCGTACCAATTTCTAAGGTAGGTTTCCCTTTTGCAGCTGAATCTAAGCTACTCTAGGCCATGTGGCATGCCACAAACACATATGGGCAACAAATGTGGTACGTGTCCCTGCTATTAGCGGCATACCTGCGACCCTCTTTACCTAAAGTTTTGTGGGTTATACCTACTAATTAAGGTTTCTTGCCACTCATCTGTAGCTAAATAGTCTAAGGTAGAAGTATTTTGTCCTCAAGGTTCAACTACGCCTGCTAGCTCTGCGGATTTCGCGCGCCGGGAATGCGAACTCGACCCGGGTGGGGTGGGGGGGGAGAGAGAGAGTTGGGATGGGTGGGCTCAGGGTTTAGGGTTTAGAGTTCAGGGTTTACAAGGGTGAATGCCTTGAGAGCTTACAAGTGCTGGTCTAGGGAACTTTTGCCGGTTTCGGACTTCGATGTTTTCAAGCTTGAGAGTTTAGGGGTTCCCAGGGCGTTCGGTGGAGAGGGCCACATGCAAAGCACGCTTTTGCATCTAGAATGGGTAGGGCAACGGAGGAATGTAGAGCACCTACCCCTAAACCCTAAACCCTAAACCCTAAACCCCAAACCCTAAACCTGGATTACTTGGCAAAGCTGGTGCTGAGAAAGCCCCCGCAACCCGCCAGTTTCCCCCAAGACAACTCAAAGAGCAATCGGAATCCTACCAATACAGGGCCTGAATAATTAGAACAGGGTTTTCGGGGTTGTTCTAGTATAATCATAACGGGATCATAAGGGTATAAGATTAGTAATTATTCCGACCCCCTGTATTTGCTTATAGGAACCCCCTGAAAAATAAAAGAGAAGAATCCCTATATGGGGGTGTCCGAACTTTTTTGGGGTTCCTTACAAGGATTATTTAGTATTTTGGGGTGTACAAGGGGTACCCCTGTTTTGGAATCCCCATATGACCCATAAAAGGAAGAATATGTTTTTTTTTGGGAGTTCTTAAGCAAATAGTAGGGAAGAATCAAATGTCATTGTCTTAGTGCCTCAAACCCTCCTTGCTTCTTCCAACTCGGCGGAGACTTGTCCAACCCTAAACCACAGAATGCCTCCTAGTTGTCCAGCAACCTGGGGGAAATAAAGGTTAACCTTTGGGATTATAAGGGGATTGTACTACCCCAAAAAGGCTAAAAGTTCCCTACTCTACTACTAGGGACTAGGGCCTCAATCCTAAAACCTAAACCCTAGGCGGCACCACGACTTTCTGCAACCTCACGGCCACAACACGGAGCTGGCCTTTGGCCCCGCCAACAGTCTAGGCCAGTTCATATCTTTAAAGAAGAGTGAGAGGGTATAGGTATACACAAAAAAGTCCACAGGAAAAAACCCTGTATATTTCCCTTTCACCCGGTATGCAGATGTATTCATGAATATGTGCATCTTTATGCAAGCCGCGTTTGGTGCAGCCAAAATAGAGCCTGGGCCAAATGCTGGTTTGAGTCTTGAAGGCACCCCAAACCCGAAACCCTAAACCCGCCTCATGGAATGGCTCGGGGCATCCCGGGGCATGCAAAGGGGCGCGGTGTGCAGCGGAGGTGAACTTCACCTGGCGCGGCAGGCTTCAAGGACACCGAAGCTTCTCATAAGGGGTTAGGGTTTAGGGTTTAGGGTTTAGGGTTTAGGGTTTAGGGTTTCGGGAGATTTGTGTTGGCTTTGGGGGTGAGAAGCCCTGCACTGCCACCACGCTTAAGCGCCCTCAAGAAAATGATCCAACTTCCTCCTTTGGGGAGCACAACCGACTACTCTACACCTCGGGTGGAAGCTTGTGGGTGCAGTGATGGCTGTACTTGAGACCATGCCTGGCGTGGGGAGTTTTCAGGACGGGGATGGCCCTTAAAACTCTCTGAAAAATACTCCTGGTTATGATCTTCTTAAACCCAATAAGGGAAAATAACACATGTTGCCCTAAAAACACTCTGAAAAATACTCCTGATTATGATCTTCGTTACCCAATACCCTGGCCCAAAAAAGTTTACACTTTTCTTTTTAGTAGGGTTTTAGCTTACCCAAAAAGTTTAAAGTTCACCTATTGGGCTCCTTAGTGATCTTCTTAAACCCAATAAGGGAGAATAAGAAATGTCCCAAGGACCTACCGAGGAGTGGGGGCTTCAAAGGCTTTCGGGTGTTCGTGCTTCAGATGGTGACAGGGTGGCTCAGTAGATGAAGCTTGGGATGTTCCCCCTTATACTAACAAACATCGGGATTAGATTTGCAGGCACTACAATCCCTATTAAGGGCTGTTAACACAAGGGGGAACATCCCAAGATGAGGCCATGAAATTCTTGGTTCGCATGAGGCCCGTCCAGCTGTGGCTGATGTCCATGATTGTTCTGCGAAACCACCCTAAACCCTAAACCCTAAACCCTAAACCCTAAACCCTAAAGTCTTGATCTCGAAGGCACTGCGCATGCCTTCAACAGTATTTAGAGAAGGGGCTGAAAACCCGAGCCCCAAAAAAAGGTTAACCTTTTATATACAGTAGGATTCTAATGGTTCTATATAACCACAAAGGTTAGAGGTTACCTAGCCAGTCCCTAAGTTCAGGAAAAGGCGGCTGCTAATGCTGCAGATGGAGGATGCTTGGCCCTCTGGTCTGAGATTCGCCGTATAGAACTGCAGGCAGGAGGTGGGAAGATAGGGGTACAGCTGAAGCAGAGCGAGCTGCAATGATGCCTGCGCCCCCGGAGAAACGCGCACAAATAGTGCACAAAGCACCATGACAACACCTCGGACCCCAAACCCCGAAAAGCACCCCCCAAAACCACTAAGCCCTGAACCCTAAACCCCAAACCTTAAACCCATATGAAGCAGGGTATATTTTTCTTGTACCCCCAAAAAGGACACCAAATATATACACTCACCAATATTCAAAAGGAACCATATATACCTTCACCAAAAACAATAATATAAACCCTGCTTCATATGTCCCGAGCCATCCAAAAATGCGGCCGGCATTGCTCGGCAGTGATGCTCCATTGCTCGAAACAGCGCATGGGGCTTGACCTGGTTTAGGGTTTAGGGTTTAGGGTTTAAGGTTTAGCGTTTAAGGTTTCGGGGTCAAGGCTTCGCGCGTGCGGGTTAATTGCGTTTAGGGTTCTAGGTCTGATGCTTCTCGATCTCGTCATCGTTTCCTACGAGCAACGCCTATGCCACCTAGGGGTGTAGGGTTTAGGGTTTAGGGTTTAGGGTTTCGGGTTTAGGGCTTGTTCTATCAGCATGGAGGTAGCCCTTTCATCAGAGCGCATTGTTCGTTTTTGAGGCTATAAGGGATAAGGCTCAAGGATCCTGCGTGATCTCTGTTGGGAAGTCAAACCAACAACACTCCTAAACCCTAAACCCTAAACCCTAAACCCTAAACCCTAAACCCTAAACCCTAAACCCTAAACCCTAAACCCTAAACCCTAAACCCTAAACCCAAACTCGTGCTTCGAGCTTGGTTTTGAGGGGAAACCCAGAAGGGAACCCCAACCCCAAACTAGAGGAAATGAGCGCCTACTCCGGGTGAGAGAAGCCGAAACCATCCGTTGGGCCATGTACAGCTACCCTAAACCCTAAACCCTAAACCCTAAACCCTAAACCCTAAACCCTAAACCCTAAACCCTAAACCGTAAAACCCTAAACCCTAAACCCTAAACCCTAAACCCTAAACCCAAACTCGTGCTTCGAGCTTGGTTTTGAGGGGAAACCCAGAAGGGAACCCCAACCCCAAACTAGAGGAAATGAG